TTGTTTTGAGCAAATTTTACTAAGCAAGGTGGCTTTCACTCTAAAGAGTGGACAGTAATTTCCTATTTCGACTTGTCTCCTCCTTTCTTTTTACTCAAATAACTCATCTTCAAAGTCTAATAGGAGTTTTCGAAGTAGTCTCAATAGGTAGTCTTTTCCTTAGTAAAGATTTTCAGCATTATTATTATTTTTAAGCACATGCTTTATTATTATTTTTTTTAAAAACAATAACCTTTATAACTTTTATGAGCAATATGACTTAGTCAATTTCACAATGATTTTCAATTAAATTGTTTCAGAGTTGGATTAGTGCACATGAAAAATATGAATTTAAGAGACTCATCTCTAAAAAGAAATAAACAAAGCAAATTGTCTTTCAACATATAAATTACACATCAAGAACCGTTTCATCAAATAATCATGTGTCCCCAATTTGCATTCAAAAATAATTAATTCAAGAGAAATAATTATCACTCATGCATTGACGAGAAAAATATGATCATCACTTTCTCATGAAAGAAAAACAACCTAAATCATAAACTACAAGATATGGTCCAATGGAAACAAGATATTCATCAAAGTATAATCCATGACTACAAAACCTCTTTAGAATTTACTTTGAGGGTTGGAAACAAATTCCATAGCATCAATTGGCATATACAACCTCAAATCCTCTTTCTTCACCCAAATAGCTTCCACTTTCAACTTTTGAAGAGATTTTTGAGGAACATTAAAAACATTCTTTTTCTTATGTGAGTTTATTTTAGCACGAAAATTTTTAGGTTTATTCCAATTACTTTGCTTTCTAGCATGAAACATATTTTGTGCAAAGGAATTATAACCATGAAAATCAAAACAAGAATTATCCCTTTTCTTTTATAACAATAGTGTTGACTATGTCTAGTTCTACTACAATAAGAATAATAAAACACATTGGACACCTTCTTAGATGCATAGGTTCAACAAAAAGCTTAGGCTTAACAATAGGCACATTCAAGTTCATGAGTTTAACAAAAACAGTTTGATCCTTTTTACTAAATGAAGCCTCATTAAAACCTAATTTAGTTTTATCACCTACAAGCTTACCAACATTAATCATCTTATCAAGCTTAATCTGTCCGGAAGTAAAAGCAATTAATTTCTCTTGAGATTTTTCCAATTCAGGTTCAAGAAAATTAATTTTAACAAGAAGAGATTTTCTAACAGAATTAGCTTAACTTACCTTGCTCTCGAGAATTTCTACTTTATCTTGAAGATTCTGAATATCAACTTTGTTCTCCTCAAGCAATTTATGTTTTTGCTCATTCTCCTTCTTCAAGGTATCATACTTCTTTTTCATCAGCTCTAGTTCCTCTGACTGCTTCTGACTAGCCTTTAACACTGCCTCAAAGATTTTCAATATATTGTTTTCACTTGGTTCTCTATTAATTTTCTGATCATTCGAATCATAAGAACCAACCTTGCTTAATGTCTTAAATTTAGTAAAATCTCCTACATAAAAAGAAGAATTATTAGCAGTATCATTATCAACATGAGCAAGAAAAGCACTAGAGGCATCTTTCTTATTTTTCTTATCTTTCAGTTTAGAAGGTTCTCCTTTAACACAATTTTTATTCTTTCTATTTTTAAAGAGTCTTCCATATCTTTTAGATAAACAAGAAAGTTCCTCATCAGAACTTAAACCATTAAAAACAAGATCGGAACTTAAACCATCAAAAAGAATATCCAATTCACCCTTATACATAGGATTTTCCATCATGAATTTTTGAAAACAAAAATAATTTTATTTTTCAAAAAAAAAAACTTCCACGAGAATTAACTCAATGTATAGAGGTTGGCTCTGATACCACTTGTTGAGAGTTTGTGTGCAGCAGAATGGTTATGGAATATAATATGAATAAATAACGTAGAGGAGTGGTTAATAGATTCAACTTGCTCTTTTATCCAATTTTAATTTTACCGAAATAAAACTTAATTCAAACCACAAAGCAAAAATAAAGTGCAAGTAAAGTAAATAAAGTTTGAGAGATGACACCAGGATTTTAGCGAGGAAACCCCAATTAGTAGAATAGACCAATTGTAATAGGAAAAACCTCGTTGGACTTAGCAGTCCTGAGATAAACGATCCACTATGTTTAAAATAAAGTATACCGAACTTTGACTCAGTCTCACACCCTATCGTTCTACCAAAAACCAATTGCTAACAATCATTGGCTTTGCGACTTCCCCGTCCAACAGCTCTCGACCTCAGGCTTACTCTCGATCTTTGTAAAAGAGTTGTAGGTAGATCAGACAACACTCCACGAATGCTCTGACCCCTTTAAAGTGTGATCGTTTCACCCCTTTTCTTCTAGCTCTGAATTTGACGAAGAACGAATGAATTCTGCTTTTTGAAATTTCTGAATCTTCAATTATGCTCCAATTTCGATGAAATAGAGAACAAGACTCCTAAATCACTCTTGTGTTTATATGTGTGCTCTCAAAAATAAAATCAGAAAAATCATATTGATTTTCTAAATGAATAAAAATATCTCTCAAATATGACTCTCTAATAGATCTGAATTTTGTATGCAAAAGCCGTGTATAAAAATATCTCTCTAAAGGTTTTCTCAAAATATAGAATTAATTTTCCTTAAAGCCATGAATAAACCTAAAAAACTAATAAGGTTTATATAGAGTTTAGAATGACCTAATCCCTCTACAAATATAGAAAATTTCGTGCATAGAACTTGGTACAATTCTAAACCAACTAGGAAAGAAATCTGAAACAGGAAACTAAAATTGTAATCTGAACAGGACTTCTTGAACCGGTTCAAGGGTGCTGAACCGGTTCAAGATTGACAGTAAGAATCCAAAGCCAATCTTGAAGGCCTTGAACTGGTTCAATGAGGCTGAACCGGTTCAAGTCTAGCATACTTGAACTTTCAGGCTAAACTTGGTAAAAACCCTGTTTTAGAAATATCTGAAAATATACCAAGTATGGAATGTGTCTTAACCTTTTTAGATTCCTTCCTAAAGTGTTGTTCTTACCTTTCTCGAATGATATCAATCGTGGTAAATTTGAACAACCTTCCAATTCTGCAATCGTTGTCAATCCCGATATAGTAACTTGAAATTACAACTTGACTAGGGCTTGTTTTGACACCGAAAGTTGTTAATTATAAAATATATATTTTTCACGATCTCCCCAATATATATATATATATATATCTCACACAATTCTCTTTGGATCCCTATTCCTCTCACACACACACACACTCACTCCCTAAAAACTATTAAAACCAATCTTCATTCCACTTTCACGTCCTCCTGCCATTTTAACAGTTAACAAAAGACAATTTTACTCGTTCTTGAAGTGCGTATTACGCATGCATGAATGTTATTGGTAGATAACGCTACTCAACTACTCCTTCCGTCCTAAATAAGTGTCATACTTTTCTTTTCTGTCTGTCCCAAAATAGGTCTCCATTTTTCTTTTTCAAACAATATTTTTTACATCTTTCCATATATGTTCTTTAAGTTTAAATTTTCAAATTTGAATTTTCAAAACTAAAAAGGCAATTTAGTAACTTTTCAGGGAGACAATGCATGTCTTACATATCCCCTTAAAAATTATTATTTTCAAAAATGACACTTAACCAACGGGCTAGTGGCCTAGCAATATCGGCCTCTTATTTCCCAAAGAGAGGCCAGGGATTCAAATCTCAAAAGAGACAAATGTGTGTAACCAAATAAATAAATAAATAAAGAAGAAGAGGAAAACAATGCATTTCAGAGATTTTACTAATATACGTATATTATAAACCAAATGGGTAATATCTCACCTGGTGCAAGCCCTCTTCTTAGAGGAAAGCTTGAATGTTCGAGCCTCCATACAAATAAGGATGAGTGTGTTTACTTAACCTTTTAAAAAAGAAAGTGTGTATATATATATATATATAAATTCATCATCATTTTACTCTCATTTTCAATTCAATTATATTTCATTATTTATTTTTTTAGTTTTGGGTTTACTCTTGACATTTTCTTTTGAGTAAACGGCAAGCATACCTAGGGTCTGTTTGGTACGTGTTTTATTTTTGGCGTTTTGTTTTAACCAGAAATAAAATAAGTGTTTTGTTGTAGAATGTTTTGCAACAAAATAAATGTTTTGTTGTAAAGTATTTTGAATACTAATTGAAAATATGTTTGGTAACGTCAATTTGTTTCTAGATTTTTAAAAGCAAAAACATGAAAACATATTTGATAAAGAAGTATTGCAAGCTTAAAAAATATAATGATTAGTTCAAAAATGTCATTTAAGAAATTTTTTTTTTTTTTAAAAAAAAAAAAATCATCGTTCATCGCTACAAAAGTGCAGAAACATAAAAACATCAAAATTGGTGTTTCAATTTTAATTAATACTATATAAAACAAAATAATTTTTACTGAACCCGACAAAAATAAAAATACCAAGAACAAAACGGTACGAAGCCCTAAATATTGTTAATCTCTTAATAAAGTCCAATTTAGACAGGACTGATAAAATTGATTCCCAGTCGTTTTCTTCCTCTTTTGTCTCCAAGCAATCATTCTTATCATTCTTACAATCTCAAGTCGCGTCATGTATGGCAACTGATTTAGGACACATTTGGTTTAGTTCTCCATTGTTATTATACAACTAAAAACTACAAAAATTGTTTGGTTTATAGTTTCTAAAAATAAAGAAGTACGTTTCCAAATAACGGACTTTTTTTTAAAACAAAATTTTATTTTCAATTTTTAAAAATTAAACCAAACAGACCTAAGCTTCCTGTCTAGTCACAGATTGTACTTGTGGCTTGAAGTGTCCTTTCAGACTGCATGGGCCTCAAATTATACAAAGCGGCCTAAGTTGACAATTTCTAGGAATTATTTTATAAAAACTCAATTAAAAAAATATATATTTTCGAGAATTGACTTTTATAATAGTTTTCTAAGTTTTTTAGCTTTGATTTTAGAAAAATAAACAAAACAAACCCTTAGAGCTTCCAATCTAGCCATGGATTTTACTTGTAACTAGCAATATCCTTTCAATTTACATGGGCTGCCATTGCACGCAAATCTCATGTCAAATAAAATACAGAGAGCAGCAAGAAACAAAGAGTTATGAGCTCCAAGAAAAGGCAAATTGACAAAGGGAGAAGAAGGAATCAAAGTTAAATAAATAAAAAAAGCTATCCACCACCCATGAACGGAAGCATATTAACGGCCAAACGGCCAAACTATCACGAACAACTTCTGACAAAGAAAGCGCTTCACCAAACAATCTGATCGGATCTGCATGCATCTCAGACATTCACCATCTTCAATCCAAGAAAGCCCTAGGTAAAAATGTCTAAAATTAGCTTATACCGCGACAAATAATACCTTTTGACAATGCATAGGAAACAAGCAACCGGAGTGCTAACACCCTGCTGTGACACTACCAGATTTACGAGTGGAAACAACCCAGCAGCTTCAAGATTATAATATATTACCATCTATCGTCTCCAATTATTTCCAGAGCTTGACAAAGCTGTCATGACTTGCTGAGGCAACCATTCCCCTGAGAGGCGATTGTGCCAAAGCAGCAACTATATTCTCGTGTGCTTGAACCGTCATGCTCTTGTTCTCAGCCATGTTCCACATTTCCATGGTCTGCGAACATATGGTTAAATATGAAAAAAAAAAAAAAAAAAAAAAATGAATATACGCGATCAACTAGATTTTAAGTCATTATTAAATGAACTTATGAAGCTGTTAAGAAATGATCATTCCAACACGAGAAATAACACTAAAAATAGGGTTCAGAGGAGGTAAAATAGGGGTCAATTACTAAACCAATTGGTTAGTCCTTAGAAAGGTTATATGCAAATATCTGAAGTTAAATAATAGGAATTACCCGCACTCCACCAATCACCAAGAGAGCTGAATAACTTGGATGAAAAACACAAGAATGGAACTGGTTTCCATTGGAGCTGTACTCATGAATGCACTCCCCCGAGGTCAATGACCAAACTTTCACAGACTCCTCGCTGACAGATGCCAAAAAATCACCGTTGAGGTCCCAACATAGGTAGTTCACAACTCCTGTGTGTCCCTGATAATAAGATGAAGAGTTGCATTAGTTGCTCAAAACACCACAGCGGAATCATGAACAGAATGCTATAAAAGCGTACAAACCGGGAATGAATGGGTTTGTCTGTCAGTTTCGACATCAAAGATGGACACCACCTTATCTGATGCAGCTGCCAGTAGCTGACCGCTTATCGGCTGAAATCTCACCTGAGCACTGCCTCCTTGCTAATAAGCAATAGATTAATTGGAATTCAAAGAAAATCATATTTGCAACTTCAAGAAAAAATATATGATGGAAAAGGAGAAAGTTACGACGATTTTTAAAGACCAACCTTGGAAATACGAGTGCATGAGAATGGGCTGATATTCCAGTAACGGATTTCATTGCTACTATCGCAAAAACAGAAAAGATCGTTCTTCTTGGGATGGAAATCCAGTGACATTACATGTGAACCATGTCCTGTATATGCCTGCAGACAATAGCTTGGCTGCAAAAATAAATCAAATAAGTACTTTCAGTAATGGTATAATAAAAAAATAAAAAAACATTTTATAAAGCTCATTTTTCAATATCAGAATTTTAAAAGCAGAAACAAAGCCTGTAAAGACAAGAATTACACGAACTGTTGCCATGTCAATGTGTAACCTTTAAAAAACAGATGAGACATGAGAAATTATCATATAGGATGGGGGAGAGAAAATTACATTAGCTGCATCCCATAATCGCACAGACTTATCAAATGATGCTGTTGCTAACTGAGTTGAATTCGGCCTGAAACGGACGTCAGTAATTAAATACTGATGTTCTTCTGGAGTGCTTTCTGTTTGCAGGGTATCCATGTTCCAAAGAACAGCCTAAGACCAAAAAACAGAAACAATTAACCAACACCCTTTGGATCAATGCTTCTTATTTGTTCAACTTTGTTACATTCACTTTACTAACAAGGAGGTAAGTAGAATGAACCAAAAGCTGGAAACAGTAGACTCGCAGCCACCTCTAGACGTAAATTAGTGATATTAGCCGTATATCATTAAGGATAATACCATGCCATGTATCAGTATAATGTAACCATGGTACTCATTCGTCAAATGTAGTATTTATCCCTACTGTACTATGCATCATACCTTCTTGTCATGTCCAGCGCTAGCTAGCAACTTCCCATCGGAAGAAAAATGACAGCAGGTAACCTTATTGCTCATCCGTATACAACCAACTTCCCCAAAGGAAAAACCTGAAGTGAAAAATCTGGCTGTGATTCGTGTAGAATTTTAAACAATTACTCCCAATATTTGCACAAGAACAAATGTAACAGGTTACCCTTAGAAGACTCTGTTTTGTGCTCAGTGAGACTTTGTTTTAATCCATATAAATCCCGCCCATCTCCTCCATCGTTAGAGAAAAATGATTCCACATTATCATCCAGGGAACCAGCATCTGCAAAATGTTCTATGTCATCCTGCACTAAGAAATAATGTTTCAGGAACCACGATAAAATTTCATAAAACTTCATCATTTACAAGACAGATTGACCAAGATAGACTTGATACCGAAACATGTTTTCCATTGATTGAAACTTTTTATGTGTACTTATTTATTATGTTGGGCAAATTGAATGCTCAAAATAAGGAGTAATATTTTCAAATTAAGGGAATCCAACAACTGAACTTATTGAATGGAAACTCATCTCATTCGTTTATTATTGCATTAACAGGTGAAAATATCATATACTAATACAACACAGTTGAGAAGTACAAACACAGTGGAGAAACCATATGTTTACATATACATACGTACATACATATATATGCTTGGGCATACCAGCTGATTTGTAGAGGATGCAAGACCTCCTGTTCCCTCTGCTCCAAACATCATCAAGCTTTTTGGCACACTGTTGACATGCTGCAGATTACTTGCGGTAGTTATCCCATCACCAGGTGTATGAGCTGATGATGGAGAGTTCGGTGAGGGACCCACCGTATTTCCAGTACCTGTACTGTTTGCAGCTCCAGAAGAAGTGTGTTTCCTTTTCCTGTTATTCTATATTATGAAAAACAGTAGGGAGGCATTAACTATTTTATAACTAAATACAAAAATAGGAAGAGAAAAAAGAGGATTTTCTGATGTAGGAAGGGTAGTGAGCTCTGATACCACTTGATGTAGGAAGGGTGGTGAGCTCTGATACCAATTGATGTAGAGGTGGGTAGTGTGAGTGATGTAGAACAAGAGAGAGAAGGAGAGAAGAGAGAGTAGACTAGGAAGAGAGAAGTGATGTAGAACTAGAACAGTGAAGTAGAGTGAGAAGAAATGGAAAGGAGAGAGTGAAGAGGAGGAGAAGAGAAAAATAATATGAGAGAGAGGACAAAGTTCACTGCAACAAACTATTTGGCTACCCCCTTTTCTTTTCTTTATTTTATTCTTTTATTGCACAAGAAGACAAAGTTCACTGCAGCAAATTACTCACTTTTCTTTCTTTCTCTGCTTTTGGTCTTTCTTTATTTGTTCCACTCTCTCACGTTTCTATGTTGTATCCATCTTTATTTGACCATTGCTTTTCTTTTCTTTATTTTATTCTTTTATTGCACAAGACAAATTTACAAAAGCTCCTTTTATATCATGAGGCACAATTCATGCGCCTGTAGGTGAGCCTTTAATAACATTGATCGAATTGGATTCGGACTCGGATCAGAATCCGATCCTTTGACAGGTCTAGCTGCAAGGCAGCATACCTTATTTATAGGCAAACCTAAGCCTAGTAATAATTAAAAGGAAATATTGCAAAACTACCCCATATTTATTATAATTCCTAAAATATATAGGAAAAATATAAAATCTATCTGTCATTCCCTCTCCTCCATGCGTAGGTGAGAGTCATATGCAATTCAAACTCTCGGGCCGTGCCCAATTCTTCATCAGTTTCCTTTTCCTGTTATTCTATATTATGATAAACAGTCGGTTGGCATTAATTATTTTATGACCAAAGAAAAAATAAGGAAGAGAAAAAAGACATAATCAGTAAATTCAAATTCTTTTAATGGCAGAAAAAATTTAATTACAATTGCAAATGGCATATTTATGTAAACAGGTCGATAATTCAGCTTTAAAGTGAGATAAAGTAATTATGTCTACATAAGGAAGCACAACCTGTTGCAATTGTTGCTGTTGCAACTGGTCCTGTTGTTGAGAGGAAGACTGCTGCATCTGTGCCATCTTCATCTGTAAATATACCCACTAAAAACTCAGAAGAAGGCACTTGTAGCCTTTAGGAACCAACAAATATATACTGAAACACCATATATTGGTGAAAGAACACAGGATGCCAGTTAATAAACTGAGCAACGAATGCAAGTTAATAAATACAGGAAAGACAAGATATGGTTTTATGTGCATGAGAACTAGGTTTTTTCAAAATATATGTCTATGCATGCATGAATATGTAGGCATAGACATACTAATACATATATGCACCAATTATCTGAAGGGAATATATACATGGAATTGCATAATACTCGCTCTCCCAAAATCTTGGGCTGTTTGGGGAATCCAGCTTTTTATTGTAGCATGTTTTTAATACTTTTTTATTGTATTGAAAAGAGTGAATTTACAAATTTATCCTTGTTAAAAGACAAAATAGTACTCCATAATTAGTGCACTTGTTTTGTCAAATGGATAGCTTGGGAATGTTATAAAATATAGCACATCTATTTTTGGAATGGGACATGTATTTTGGGACATCTCAAAATAGAAAGATGGACAAGAATTTTTGGGATGGAGGGAGTAACCTCACATAGATAGATTACCTATGCATCTATCAACATGGTATTAAACATCAATCATGCTCAAAGCATAGTTCTTATCATTGACAGTGTTAGGAAAAAACCCTATAGAATCAATATAACAAAATTTGTCAACATTATTATTAATTACAGCAATGTTAACTTTTGCATGTCACCTCTTATTATTGGTAAGCACAATATGCGCATCAATATAGGATTTCAGAGGCTGCGGTTATGGAAGTATATGTTTGATAATATACTTGGCCAGTCAGCCATGCTCTTGACGTAGTTGCCCAACTCTCCTTTGGGAGCATCTTGAAAACTACAGACTAAAAAAACTTCTCATTATCCCTTTCTATTTTATTTTATTAGTAAACGACTTTTCCCTATTATATTAATTAGCTACCAGCTGAAGGTTACAGTTAAGTCTATTAAAGTGCAGAATTAAGCTTATACTTGGTTGGCCACGATAAGTTATCAATCAAAGCACTTGGAAAAACCTATCCAAAACTTGCAGGCTGAGTACTAGACTCAAAAAATAAAAATGAAATAAAAGACTGATTTTTCGGTCAGATCTAGTAAGATGGAGTTGTGGGCCTTGCGATATTATCATCTTTTTGCCCGTCTTGTTTTAAAACACCCTCAGAATAAATAATGTTAATTCAATGGATACTATTCTTTACAAGTTGTTATAAGAAAGGGGTTTTAGCTGGATATGAATATAAACCTTTTTACCTATAATTCTAAATCTATTCCTCCCTTAAAGCGCCACTTAAACAACCGTAACTTTAAGTAGTTATTCAAATATTATAGCTGGTGATTTTCTGTAAATCCAGGCACTTGAATGCTTTTCAAAACCTAGTGTGTGTGTGTGTGTGTGTGTGTGTTTTATATTTTACAGGTTTGTTCAAACAGTTTTATTGTCTATCAAAAATTGTAACCTTCATAAACTATAAAATTATAAGTTTCTGTAAAAACATTTCCATGATTATAGTGGAGGCTTGAACCCTTGACCTCTCTTTGGGAAGTAAGGGTCTGATACTGCTAGGCCACTAATTAGGGTTTGACAATTACTAAAAAAGACAACCATTCTAGCCTACTGCCTACAACAGATATTATTTGTTATTCGAGAAGATTCTCTAACCTTTGGTGAATTTGATTGCACAGGAGAGCATATAGACCCGTCATTTCTTGTGGGTTGACCATCTTTTGCGTTCAGGGTACCCCGAGGTAATCCACTTAGCCCATAATTAGGTGAACTTCCAAATTTTCCTTGTGCCTGAGCTTGTGCCAAGGCCTGCTGTTGTTGTGATGCCAGAAGAAACTGATTTTGGGTCTGTACATTACCTTTTTGTACTTGTAAACCTAAACCTGGCCTTAGTTGGTCAATTCCCTACATTATATAGCAGCAATTTAAGTCATGAACTAGTAAAAATTAAGACTGTAACAAAAACTGTACAAGAGACAGAGCATCTTTAATAACTCACAGTTAGAGGCCAACCCTTCAATGGAAGACCAGGGACACCTTGATTAAGTCCTGAGAAGCAGCAGAAACACCATGGCAATAATTATTTACACATCATGCAACTATTAATCAAACATAATTTTGACAAAAAATGCTCAGCCTGTTGGTTTTTTTAATGACTGAGAAGTGAGTATTTATCTAGACAGAAGAGGGAGGGGTTCTGAAAGCAATATGACATTTTATACATGAATCAAAGAGAACCTGGTATTAAAAAAAAAAAAAAAAAAGAGAAAGAGGCGTCTTGTTTTCACTTCATAGAGCATGTTGGTAACACATATTTCACAACATATTCATGCTTAAAGGTGTCTCTATTGCCTCCACAAATAGGGATTGTATTTTCACTTCTCACCAACCCCTAGATGTGGTTAATCTCAACCATGTGGAAGCTCTCTCAGCAATTGAGATCAGTTAAGCATTGCAAATACATATATTTCACAATATATTCGTGCTTAAAGTTGTCGCTATCGGCTCCATAAATAGGGATTGTATTTTCACTTCTCACCAAACCCTGGATGTGGTTAATCTCAATCATGTGGAAGCTCTCTCAGCAATTGAGATCAGTATGAATCTGGGTGATTTAAAGCTTTCTGCTTCCAATGTCTTATCTGTTCTTTATATAGCTTGACGCAGCAAAGTCACTACAGGCAAATCGAGGCTTGTTCACGGTTCATTGAAAAAGATGATCAACTTGGAGTTTCAAATTTACCAGCTGAAAGTGATTTCTCCTGGGAGAACGACTGAATCAAATTTCTTCCCCAAGGTCCTTGAATTTTCTCCCTCCAAAACACGGAAGGGAAATGAAGGTTCTTGACTTCTCCCTTGGAGATTCAGATTTAATAGCTGCGGGTGATCCTTTTCAGTGAGCAACTGATTCAAATATACCTCATAAGGGCCTTCGGATTTGCCCTCCAATAAAATTGCTGACCTCTCCACTGGCACTGCTTAATTCAGGTTTCAAAAGCTGACAATCTAATAGCAAACTCCTTAACATAAAGCAAAGCCACTTCTTAGAAGAACTTTAACGTCTGAGTTCCCACTTGAAAATATTGTTTGCTTTTAGTTGAATTTTTTTCTTTTTAATTTCTTTCCAGCTCATTGTTGTTTTTTTGTTCCCCCATTACCCTTGTTGCATTGAACTTCTGCTCTCACAATTGTATTTTCACCCCCTTTTAACAAAAACTGAGTTGCTTAATTGAAAATACAGAAGAAACAATTCCCACATCTAAAAATTAGGATCGGTGTTCAAGCGCTAAGCACCCACAAGTTTTCTCAAGTGCTTTGACAAGAAACAATTTTTAGAATTCCCTGCTCTATCTTTATATCTGTTTGTCACTTCGCAGGGTGAACCCACTTTTACTTCTTATCCAACAGAATACAGCAACGCATAAAAATTAAAAAAATAAAATTAATTAATTAATTAATGAAAAAAAAAAAAAAAAAGATCAACCGCGACCCGGTAGGCAAAAAGTTAGGTCAGTACTCAAATATTTTCAAGTTCTTTCTTCCCAAGCACATCCTTATATTGCATAAACTAAGAGTTTTGTGAGTTATCTAACTTATTCCCATGTTTATCTTCAAATCACATCAGTGGCAGTATATTAGCAGTGAGTCAGTGACAAGAATAGATGACAAGAAATTACTATGTTATAAATAGAGCTAATTGGTAATTATAAAAACAATCTCAAAATGAAAAGTTAGACAATATCTTTTTATTTTTCGGTAATAGTTCCCCTCCTTTGCTTCCACGTTTAACTTGGTTTAAAACTTTGGAGCTGTCAAATATGTTTTAACCCTACGTTCCTGAAGGGGTGGACTCAGTTTTTCCCCCAACTTTCGAATTTTAAGATTTGCTTCACCAGGGACATTGTCATCAACGTCAATCCTTATTTGCTTTTGCAGTTACAAGGAAAGATGTTAAAATAACATACTGGCAACTTGTTCCATCAATTAGAGCCATATTATGGCTGCCTCACCTTATAGCATACTTAATTGACCCCCGCAAGCACAAATTCACCAGGGACGTTACTCATAACCACTCGGCACTCTTGCATATTTGTATCTATGCCATCAACATGTGTCATTGAGTCAGAACATATGATCACAACATCTATAGTATTCTCTTTTAGTCTAGGCTATGTGGTAGATTGACTTGACTTTGATAGTGCATAATTTTTATCCTTCATATCCAAACTTATCTAAGAAGGAATTGACAAATCATAGGAGTAGCTGTGAGGAGGACATGAACTTGCACAAACATCCATATATCAATTAATTGCCTAAACCATAAAAATGCTAATGGAAACTATGTAAAAGACAAAAACAGCATGAACCAAAAACTACCGCGTGTTTTCCATTGGAATATATCACCCTGCAAAGATAATTTGTCCCAACTTTTATACAGCTTTATGAAGAAAGTTGGAACAGGGACGCTTCAAACTTATAAACAAATTAACACATTGTTTAAAACTAAGAATTAGTAAATCCATAATTTGCCTCATCATATAAAAGAAATGTGTTCATATAGTAGAACCCTTTCATTCTGGAGGGTTTAATTATATACCTGGACCACCTAATCCAGACTTTGACTGCAAAGCTGCTTGTCCATACACTGATGAAGGATCCATGGGTAAAGATTTATGTGTTGCACCTAAGTTAACTTCCCCTTTGATGTCCTACGAGTTCCAACGGTTACAAGACCCAGGTGAAACAAAGCAAAAGACTGACTATAAAATAACAAATACAAAAGGAGCAAATGTAAGAGCAATAGTCCAAGTAGTTACAGTGGTCAATTGAGTTCTTCCCTGCATTTGCTGCAAAGCTGAAGACATGCTCCCAGAATTGCCTTGTACCAACTGGCTGAACCAACAACAAGAGCAAGAATAACAAGTGATCTTTTCAAGCTAGGTGAACTAAAAGGCAAAGAATTTGATCTCAAATGCACAAAAAAGGTTGTAATGATTTTACCCTTGATGATTGGTGGCTGATTTGAGAATGGCCATCCTATTGACATCAGTAAGGGCTGGAGATGCTTCCGAATCCATTGAATGAGGTTGCTTCATACGTTCTTCATACATTTTCATTGCCAATACACTGGCTGATGGTTGCCCCATCATTCCTTCAGTGTTCATAGCATTGACAGGACCACTAAGGTGAGGATGATTGGGATCCCTCCGATTCAACTGAGGATTGCACTGCTGCATAAGTTGCAACTGCTGCATTTGCAACTGTTGTTGGTGCTCTCTTGCTTTCATTTGTTGCGTCTGATTTTGCATTTAAAAAGTGAAGAAAAATAATATCATATTGAATCCATCCCGAGAAAATAGAAAGAAAAAAAGACATCATAACGGAAACAGCAAAAAAAAATCTGAAATTTAAAGACACCTCTATATAAGATGCTGCAGCCTCTGAATGTTTCTCATTTGTCCGTGCAATGAAGATGTCCCAGAAAACAGACCACCATTCAAAGAGAAATCCTCCAGGTGCATCAATTGCTGCAAATCAAGACTAAATTTTTAATTCACATACCAGATCACCCTAATTTTTTATTTTTAAAAGGATAGTTTCAAATAATTAGTGGAACAAGAATCCTGTACACAGAAACTTATCAAGTAAGCTGTATCCTCACTCACTACAACATAATATGAGACACTACTATGCCAGGAATCAGCTTATAATATTACCTACTGGATCTGTAGCAACTTTCCCTTCAGTCATGAAAGCTTTTGCAGAGGCATGCAATTTTCTTTTCAGCAAATAATCATAAATGTAAACGTCAAGCCTAGCAAAAAGAACCAAAGAAGTCAAAAGTAAAGATCAACATGCTAATCACTTTAAATTGATTGGAGTTTGTGAAGAAACAAAACAAACATGCTTTAGGTTGCTGATGCCAGCAGGAGGAGAAGTGAGAAAAAACAACTTCTGTATCTAATAATTCAATTCAATAAATCCTTATCGGAGATCCTTTTACTGCCAGATACAAGTTTGTTTTTCCATTCGCCTCTATGGCCGTAACTGCAGCATAAACATGCTATTATATCTTTCTTTACTATTTCAGTTATTTTAATTTTGGTCTTTCTTTCCCCTAGCATTACCTTGATTCATGTCAATCTTGTTCACTGGTGCAGTTCTTGTTCTTCAATGCAGAGTGCTAAACCATCTTAGTCAGTTTTCCCTCATTTGATCTCCAATGAATGCTAGTTTAACCATTTAAGGAATATAATCATTTTAAAAATATTTCCACATAGCATTTCAATCACGCTTATTATAACGACCCACTCCACCACATGGTATGATATTCCCCCACTTTGGGCCGGAGCCCGCACGGTTTTGCTCTTGGGTTTTACCCCAAAAAGCCTCGTACCAATTGGAGATAACACCACCACATATAAGCACTTCACCTTTCCCTTACCCAGGCAATGTGGGATTGTGCACCCGTAGCTCGCCCAATGTGATAGCCTGCCAGTGCCTCGCACCCGCCCACAAGGTCGCCACACTCATCATATGAATTTATGAACATATTTCTCTTGACCGCCAAGCATTTTGACCCACAAAGCCCGGTTGATTTAATAAACGTTTTATACAATTTATCTTCTAATTTCAAATGTATAAATTGATAATACAATATCTTTTTTCAACTTTCTTTTTATTTTATTTATTTTTGCAACACTCCCTTTTTACTTTTTTTATAGTTTGGACATCTCCATCCCATCACTAAGTTTCCTGGGATAATAATAGCCCTTTCCCTTTCTATCCTCCAAGGACCTCTTTTAATATTCTTTTTATACATTTCAATAATATTATTCCATTTTACATTAGGTTCATCTTCCAAATCCCATGTTACTTGGTTCTTATATAATTTACTTTCTACCTTTTATATTCCACTACCTAGTTCTCGGATTTCTAATATCATTTTTCTTTCTTAATTATACTTTAATACGTACGTCTAAAATTGTCAACCTATGTTATGGTCAAAGTGGCATAGATTTCAATGGTTACTAAATGCTCATATCTCTATTTAAAATAGGTATTGGAAAATAAATGATCATATGCCACTCGTGGTTGTTAAAATCCCAATCCGGATCATAGGATCTTACGCTACGATCCCAAATTGCCAAATCAATCCGGATAGCATGAAGAATCGCTTGATCGCAGTAAGATTAGTATGATTGAAGTTAGGATTGTAGAATCTTGTAGGATCTTACGATTCCACTGATCCTCCTAAATCGTGCTGTTTTACTATTTTTCTGGATTTATTTGGGCCTACTTCTTGGCAAAGATATTTAAGGTTTTTAACTATAAAGTCCAACACCTTAGCCTAATTTCATTTAAGGGAAAAAAAGAACAAAAGGCAGAAACCCAACTTCAAAGGTAAGCAAGATCTAGCTCTGAACTTCGAAGGCATACCTCAAAACTTCAAAAAATTCCTCTATTTTGTTCTATTCTTCTTGATTTTTATTTTTTTCCACCTTTCTCAAAACAAAAAACAAAGAGAGCTCAATTGTCATGCCTATTATTTGCCCATTCTAAACAAAAAAGAGAAGCTTTGTTTTCTCCCCTCTATTCTTTCTCTCTCTGTTTGTTTTTCTTCTTAACCAAAAAAAAAAAAAGATCTTTCCAACAAAATTCTCAGATAATTAAGCAACTATATAGTTATTTTCTCTCTATTTCTTTATTCCTTTTTTTTTTTTTTACTCTTTGTTTAGGCTTTTCCTTAACTGCTTATGTGAAATTTTGCTTTACTATTATGTTGATGCTCTTGCATAGAGGAAATTAAAAAATTGGTTTAAGTGTTTGTCGAGTCTCACTATCTTAGTATCTTTCAATGTTAACTGATCTTTGCCAGAATGTTGAAGATATTGCGTTTAACCTTATTCTCTATTTATTTGAAAATAGTTTTATTCAGAAAGTTTAAGTTATTTTTATACTAATTTTATAGAATCTTACGATCCTCGATCCAATCCTATAGACCCTCCATCAATCCTCCGTGGAATCCCAATCCTAACCACCTTGATGCCACTAGGAAATCTAGGATCAATGTTATTTCTATCTCCAAATAACATTTCATCATTCACCATCTTCGACCTTCCATAAGTTTTTTCCTACACAACTAAAGTCTCCTCTAACATGTAATTTCCCTCCTTCAGGTATTCTTTGTAGCAGTTCATTCATAAATTCTCAGCATTGTGCTTTAATGTGTTCTTCTAGTCATGCTTGAGGCTCACAAGTGTCAATCATATTAATTTTTAAAATAAAATTGATATTTACACTTCGCTTTTGTACAGTTGCACCCTACTTTTTTTAGGTGTCAGTATTAAGCATAACTTATATGCCTGGAATCAAATGATTACGAGATAGACAATGAGACAAAGCCAAGACCAATCTGTCTTGAATTGTATTGTGTCTATGTAGCAAACTATAGTATAGGATGGGGTGGGAAAGACACGTTCAATTTAGACACCAGCATTTTTTAGATCAAATCGATTTCTTAACTTCAAAGACCTGATTTCTACCAATTCTTGTTTAATTCATGAAATCTTAGCGTTTTAAAAAAAAAAAAAAAGGAAATAAAATTAAACAATTGAGCTTCAAAACCACTCTCCCACCAAAATTTTCCCAAAAAATACTCTTACACACTGTTTTTTTAGGAGTATTTTAATTTCGTCATTTCCTTTATTAATTAATCAAGTGGAGTGCATATGTAAAAAAGGGGAAGGGGAATGCCAATAACATATCCATTTTTTTTAAATAAAAGTTTAATTTACATAATCATATACCATTTTCAATTTTCAATTGAGCGCAATAACTTCTTTTAGATCATTATCATCTAGTATCTCTACGTTCTTTATATATCTATCTTTTCGAGTGTTATAAAAAATTATATATGTTTTACAATTTCTTCTTTTGACTTAGTTTCTTATATACATGCTATATTAATCCCCCCTTCTAATCATAGTGTCTATCCACGTCCATCTTTTACAAGCCAAAATTCCTATTTCTAAGTTGTCATTCCAAGTATGTTATGTTGAACTAACTTCTTTACCTGCACTCGGCCAAAATACCCTAAAAGCTAGTTTTCACCGCATCTGAAACCGATGCCACATCCTTTCCCCATTTTTCGAATAACCAAAAGTTGATACAATGTGTTTCTAAAGGAAAATGCACTAGTATCTACTTAAATGTCCTCAAATTCATAATCATAGGGATCTACTAATGTTTTGCATTGCCTTTCCGCAAACTAACACAATCCTCCCGTTAAAGCATGACAATGGTGGAGTTCTTTCAATAGTGCAACTACTTGTCTTAATTGAGTTGCCTTTTCTGTTTTCTGAAACAAGAACAACATAAAGCACAAGATTCAAGCTTCCATTTTCACTCATTTCCCACAGTCTCTCAGCAACCAAAGTTACAAACAAACCAAGATCAGTGGGAAGCAAATTAAGCAGGGAAATAATGAAAGGGAAAAAAAAGAAAAAAAAAAATATCTGAAATTCAGAATGAAAATGAACATGACTTACATCTTATCAGCTTCCCAATTACTCTGCGCCATGATTTGGTCCAAACACAAGCTGCAGAAGAACTAAAATGCAATCACCGTCCTTGTGTAATTAAGCCCTGCACAATTAAAGAGCTCTCTCGCATTAGAAATCAAAAAAATCATGAATAATTCAAAGAATTCACACCAAAACTTTCAAAACAGTTCCAATTGTTTCATCAAACTGAAATGCAAATCATACCAACCCATTAGATCAAAGCCTGCATTGCCTATTCAAACAAGATCAACACACCATAAAACCCTAATTCATGCTAAACCAATAACAAAAACAACCAAAACGAAACGAAATTTACAAACAATACAAGATATTCACTAAATCTACTTTTAATATATATATATATATATATATATATATATATATATAAAAATCAATATAGTGATAGTGATCTGAATTCATAAATTCTTATGGCTATTTAATTTTAACTGAGAAAATTTTGAATCTTCGCGAGGGAATTGCAAATTCCTGGAGTAAATGAACTAAAACGGCTTGAATTTCAACAGTGGGAGAAACAAACCAGAATCCATACGCTGATCGCGATCCGAAATACGCGTGCCTGTATATGTATCTACAGTACTTCGGAAGTTTGATTGCGTAGAAACTCCTAGCGATGAAAAATTTGCAAATTTTCTCGAGAAAATTGTGAATTCAAGGTGAAGCAGAAAAGCTCGGAGCTTTAACCAGATGGAGAGAGTGGAGAGAAAATTGTATGACTTGAAGTAGTCTTAATTTAACAGAAGAGTACTGTGAGAAATGAACCTCTAAACCTGAGGTTTGGAGGACAACTGTACGAGTCAAGAATTATTTACTTTTGTTGGTTCGGAATTAGGTTAGGAAGGTTGCTCTGGTGTGACTTATCGTGAGCTCAAAACTTGAAATAAGGGATTTTAAAGTGCCGTTACGACTAATTATAGACTCGATTCCGTTGGGATAATGTTTGGATCCGTAATCAAGTAGGTAGGGTGTTTTTTGCGGGCATTGTGAATTTGGGTTGAAAGGAGACGTTAGAAGTTCTTTCCATTGGATCGGGGTGGAGAACATTAGAGTTACATAATTAATATGAGTAAGTTTGCAGATAAATAATTTAATTGGTAAAAAAAACTTATCTTATTAAATTACTATCATACATTCGTACTATCTTATTAAATTTACTATCATGACCTTATTGTTCTGTTTGGTAGGAACAAAAAAATTTAGATGGAAGGAAGAAAAGAATAGATGAATGATACATCTCTAAAGAATAGATTGTGTATTTCCTTTTTCTTTTTCCGTTGGATAAAAGAAAAAAGAATAAATTTATAATTTACTATATTCGTTAAGAGATAATGAAAGATAAAGTTTTAATTATTTTTACCATTACATTCAATAAAATTTATAATATTTTAATTTATAGATGATGATAGTATTGTAAGTTAAAACTTGTAAAATTTATGATAGTATTTAATTTAAAATTACTATAATAGTTCACTTATATTTTCTCCTTTCTTCCTAACAAAGGATATTATTGGATATAATGATAAAAATAATTAAAATATTCTCTTTCCTTCTTTCTTAAAAAAATTGGTTTAAGTGTTTGTCGAGTCTCACTATCTTAGTATCTTTCAATGTTAACTGATTTTTGCCAAAATGTTGAAGATATTGCGTTTAACCTTATTCTCTATTTATTTGAAAATAGTTTTATTCAGAAAGTTTAAGTTATTTTTATACTAATTTTATAGAATCTTACGATCCTCGATCCAATCCTATAGACCCTCCATCAATCCTCCGTGGAATCCCAATCCTAACCACCTTGATGCCACTAGGAAATCTAGGATCAATGTTATTTTTATCTCCAAATAACATTTCATCATTCACCATCTTCGACCTTCCATAAGTTTTTTCCTACACAACTAAAGTCTCCTCTAACATGTAATTTCCCTCCTTCAGGTATTCTTTGTAGCAGTTCATTCATATCATTCTTCTCTCCCTATTTAATTTTTTTCTTTCCTACTTAACAGAGCATAATGACCTTCCCTAGGTTTGGCCTAATCACAAGTAGATCAAAGGTTTGTCATCTTTTTGCAAAGACTCTTGATAGAGTTGGACTCTTTTTTAGGTGAACTTTGTCACGCCCTAACTCCCCATGACCCGGTGCATGAGCGAGATAAAGAAACCCGACTCGAAATCCAAACCCAAATGCGAAAGCGAATAGTGAAATAGTCATTAAACATGAATAAATTATCATGTAACATTTCAACTAGGTTTGAATCATCAATGGTATTCAAATGGATGCTTTACAAGGCCTGAAATAGCTCAAAAATGGGTTGGAGGAAGTCCTAGAGACAAATAATCAAAATTTGCCTATGCTGTCAGGGACGGAGGAAGAATTTTTTTTCAGGTGGGACATATTATAGTATTATATATCATAACATATATTTACAATATAATGTACGTGCATATAAGTCAATGTTTATGATATATATATATATATATATATATATATATATAGAAAGAGTGACATTTTTAGATGAAATTACTTTACCGATATAGAATATAAGGATTGAGGAAACAATTTAGTAGAAAAATATGACACATATATAGAATTCTATGAATAATGAGAAAATTTAGGGGGGCGGGGGCACTTTTCATATTTTAATTTAAAAAAAAAACATATATATTATTATAAAATATATATATAATATAAGAGAGGGGGAAAATCCAAGGGGGCACATGCCCCCTGGTCCTTAACTGTCTCCGTCCCTGATAGCAGCAAAGGAACCGACTCCTTTTGCTGAAGGAGCCGGCTCTCCTTTCTAAAAAAATTACAGATTTGGCTACTGTGCTACGGTACTTATGAAAAAAAAGACACAGGGAGCCGGCTCCCTTAAGAAAAGAGCCGGCTCTCCACCTAGGAACCTGAAAATAGCCACTGTAATTGCATTTCAATACTAAATACTCTATCCCCCTCAACTCCAACATACATGGATGGTCAAAAGTGAATTGTCAAGCTAACTCATGGAGTCTACAACATAACGGCACAAGGGAACTTTGATTTCATCATTCATTCATCACACTAGATCCGATTATATCGTTCATAATCAAAATAAGTTCAATTACATCATTGAATGGCTATAAACCTCAAAAGGGAATAGAAATCCTAATGAGACCACAAAAGATGGTACATTGGTCTCAAAACCATTTCTATCCATAAAATACATACAAGTAGTCATTAAATACAAGCTTGTAGCAAAATAATTACAAGTATCATTACAATTCCCAAAATATCAAATATTTCATGCTTCAAAAGAGACTAAGCGTCTAGTTGATAAAAGAAGGTCCTCAATGTCATCATATATGAAGTTGTGGGTCATCCATAACTTCTTTCCCGTTTCTTGAAAAATGTTAAGTAGAGGAATTGGTACAATGACTCATTAGAGATTGCCTAAGTGACATCTCCTAAAATTAAGTAGACAAATATATGTTTAGACACATCAAAGAATAGAGTAAGAGAATAGGGATCATGTCGTGATCACACGTCATCAACAAGTCACAAGTTATCCATCATCAACAATTTGAAGTGATTCAATGTATGAAATGACTTATGCAAACATATACCATACACACACACCTTCGCAAATCCACACACCCACACCGAAAACGTACTAACTAGCCAGACTTTGGTACCTCTGTCGTCCTTACGGAGAATTTGCTAGTCGTCTCTGGTAAATGGTAACTTCCAACTACCATTTGTGGTCTGAATTCGCTAAATTACTCACGTGTACCTCCCGTGTCCCTATTAACTAACTAGCACCGCCAACAAAGGGGTACCTTCCCAACTACAGGGTTTAGGAAAACCATTCATCAAAACTTCTTCAAAATTCACCATTCACATTCCACATTTTCTCACAACAGACCCAATGCCCAATGACAATACAATGTCATGCTTATAATGTATAACATGCCTTAATAATCATCATTGTCAATTCATAGTCACAATTCTAACTTCACGTGAAATTATATATAAACATCAACTTTTAAACATACTTGGCATTTGACAATAACAACATTATTGAACATGTCAACATATGAATTTTAATACAACAATAACATGAATTTGACAATAAAATACTCACATTAGCAATATTACAAACACTTGGTGTATGTAATACCCCCGGATTTCCGGATGCGGGTTGGCCAGGCCCACTCCCAACTACCCGAGGATATCAAACAAATTAGCAATAATCGAACACAGAATATAATTAAGATAAACATGAGTAAATAAAATTCGCTGGAAAGAAACTAAATGAAAATCCTTTATTGAAAACTTCAGAATAAATCTTATAAATAAGAATTAGTTTGTTACATCCAACTTCTCCAATTATAATACAACTCGGGAATCCATCTGGTGGACCCCTAATCAAAAGCCAATACTGGAAAGCGAACAACTAAAAAGAAGTCCACTGCTAAACCATGAAGAACCTCCTACATCGTCGGTAGAATAAGTAGTCGTCTCTGCTCAGCACGAACAAGCTCTAAGACCTGGAACCGTCCGTTACCTGAAAAATAATAATGGGTCAGGCTCACGAATAAGTTCTATCCTAACTACAATCCAAACAGAGACCCGATACGCAGATACATCCTAGATGTCTCAACCATATCTATATAGTCCGTAAATAGATATATACATATAACCACACTACAAGACTCTCACTAGACTATGCTGAGGGTCTCAACCTGAACAGAAGGTAACATGCAAAAACGCACCTGAGTGGGCATGACTACCTAAGCTTAACAGGGTATACCTCAACCAACATAGCTAGCTATGCATCCTACTGCATATTCGCTCCCTAACCGTCGACTATGAGACTCAAGCTCAGATCGCGGTACCATAATTATATATATAAAGTCCGATCCTATCCAACTATAAAAAATCCAGCTAGTCGTTCAGCTTGTTCAGCCGCACAGACTAACATAAATTAAGTGTATATACAACCCATCCAAATACAATGTTGAGCCGATCAACTATTCGTCGCCAAAACACATCATATAATTAGGATTTAAATATTTTAATTAAATCCTTATCCTTCCTATTAACAGAAAATATAAACAACCATCCAATATGTCGTTCAACTATTTTAGTTGACAGGACATGAAACCATATATGATTTAACTGTTTTAGTTAATTCATTCCGTATGTATGAATGGGTTAGAATTAACGTTTTGATCTAATCCGTCCCTCCGTATGTCACCGTCCCATACCGGTACATACCATGCATATAATCTGTAAATGATGCAACATTATAAGCAGTACATCAAATAAAGTCCACATTATCCATATAGTTGATAAACACATAATCTAAACAAGTTATCAACTACAAATCCAGAATCCATCCATGTAATCAAACGAGACAAAGTTTACTAATTCGTCATGTTATAATCCAGCATCCATCCAGGTAATTGATAGAAAATATATTTAATTCTTCAATTAATTCCAAGCCAACATCCAATTGAAGTCCAAACTCTAATCCAAATAATTGCAATGTAATGCTTAAAATTACCGCAACTAAAGTTCCAAGCTTAAATCCATGCATTGCAGAAAAATATTTAGTATTTCAACAATTAACATCCAGGATATGCATAGATCACACTTGTTAATTAAATAATCCTAGCATGCCACTAGAACAAGATTTTTAAATATAAATATACTCTGTTAAATTACTGAAATAAAACTAGGCAATTAAATTCGTTCCTTCCATTAACAGCCTGCACCGCTGCACTTTCCCTCTTACTGTTAAATCCAATAGTACTAAGACAATAATTTATTATGTGAGGCTCTAATATAACATGGTAATATTGTTTGGAAACCATGTTCCAACCCTTTTTAATTCCTAGACAAAGTTTGCACAATTAAATCCTTCCGGTCCGTTAAGTCCTTAAACAGCCTGCGACTTACTTAAGATTTTCCTACTGTTTAAAACATTAGCATAAAAACAAATTAATGCATCTTAGGGCTTTAATACTCCATGAATTAATGTTTAAAATCATCACAGTAGCCCAGACATTGTTTAAAAACCCACAGTTGGATCAAACAAGGCGCAACTGCTTCAGTATATGCACAAAGAAAGAGCCTGCTCCCAAAACAAGTGGAGCAGGCTCCACTTTGCCTAGAGCCGGCTCTCTCCATGGGAGAGCCGGCTCTCTCCCCTTTGAGAGCTCCAGTTTGTTCCTTCGCCGTCTCCGACGATCTGTTCCATCTCCGACCCTTTCTTACCCCTCTGTTGCTTCTTAAATCTAGTCTTAAGAGTCCTAGAAACATCCAACAACATCCCTATGCCTTGTTCACAAAAGTTCAATTCAAATACAGTATTTAAAACCTTAACCAATTAAACATGCTTCCACTCCAAACTAGAAACCAGAGGTACAAGAACTGAAACAGATTACTTCCACATATACAGACATCTGATTTAGCATATAACAAGCATGTATAAATTAACTAATGATCAATTAAAACCCTAGAGACAGTCTAATGATGCACAGAACACAAGCAACGGGAGAGGGAAAGGAAAGAACTTGCCTTAACCGTCTCTGAATTTTTCGATGAAATCTCCGACAACCGTTCCACCTCTGTTGCTCTTGGTTTTACCCACAAGCCAACCTCTACTCCTCCTCCTCCTCCTTGGTTCAGCCCTAGCCTAAGGCAAAACCCTAGACTTTCTCCCTTTATCTTTCTCTGTAATTCCCTCTGTAACTTTCTCCGTTTTACCACCATTATGCTCACGTCTCTAAAACCCTAAACCACTGTAAAGCTTATATTTATAAGCTTATTACCGTAACCCTAGTCCATATCCAATTAAAAACTAAGCCCTAATTCCAACCCCAGTCGGCCCATAAAAACAAAACCACAGTTGTAATCTACGGCACCTACATACGTGACTTCCAAAAGATTGTAAATAAATAACGAAATAAAAACACTTATTTAACTTAATTACCCAATTATATATAAAAAAATAATAATAAAGAAAATTTATGAAAACACTTAAGGACACACCTTCACACAAGTTAAATCTACTAATGTAATAAATGCAACTAATACAAATAATGCCAATTAAATCCTTAAACACTAAGTCCATAAACACAATTAATGTAATTACAGAAGAGCAAAATCAAATTTAAATAAATTAATTAATTCAAACAAACACAAACAATAAAAAAAAATTAATTCATTTAAGTAAAACAAAATAAACCACTATTCAATAAACAATTTGACACATAGAAACAAATTTAAATTTCAATCTTATCCTTTTAAAAACTAGGGTTATTATAGTGTACTTAGCATGTCATATATAATTAGAATGTCAATTCAACCCAAATTATCATAGTCATTCAAAAATAACCATATAGTACATACTATAATTGCAATTCAACTCACAAAAGTCACAATTGATCACATAGCAACTAACAATTTGACATAATTCATCACATATATAAAACCCTAGCATGTTACTACAAAATTGACATCAAATTAGTATGTAAAAATTAGGGAAAAACATGAATTTAACTATAAAATTAGAGAACTATACAAGTTAGACAACTTTACCTCTTTGAATCTCAAACCCTAATTTGTAACAAGTGATAAAATCCCCTAAAAATGCAAGCTAGCTACACCAATTGAGAGAGGAGGACAAGAAGAATAAACTTTCATCTTGAAGCTTTAACAAAATCATAACACCAAGGGGAGCCCAAAATTTTGAAGTGGTTAAATAGGACTGTTTTTGGTATCAATGGAAAGCTCTTGACGAATAGAGAGTTTTTCTCATTTCCGCCATGGTTAAAATCATACTAAAACTATGTCAAAAGTGAGTTTAAAGTGAGCTACAATGGTGGCTTTTCATGGAGGAAGAAGAAGAGGGAAGCATAATCCAAAAATAGGGGCTGAAATCTGTAGAAAAGTCATGTAGCCCTATCCCCCACATGTGGTCAAAATCAACTACAGAACTATAAGTTCTATAGACAAAGCATGCTTAGGTAACACAAGTACTGTAATGAAACTTCAGAAATCCATCACCTAACTAATTCAAAATAAAGATAAGATTAATTTGACATATAAAACATGCTTGATTCAATTATTGATCCATTAAACCCTAGAGTATATCTAGATGCACAGAACACAGGCCAACGGGAAGGAGGAAGAAAAGAACTTGTCTTTGATTTCAGTTATGAAATCCCGGCGTCGTGTCTACTGATCCGGCAATACGAACGACTGTAAAGCCTCCTCTGGTTCTAGTAAACCCACCACCACACCTCCTTTGTCCTTCCTTCTCCTAGGTCCGACCCTGAAGCCTCAGTCAGAAACCTCACAAACTTGCTCTGCTCTCTCAAAACCTTACTCTGTATCTCTCTGTGTTTTGCAGAACTAACACTTTGTTTTTCCCCCAAACCCTAAACCAACGTGATCACTGTATTTATAGGCGTAAACACTAAACCCTAATCCTTGTTTAATTACAGCCCTATCGTATAACTCCAGTCGATCGGCCCATATAGCAGTCTATGTTAAGATACTCACGTAACTTCTTAGGGAACCTTAGTTAAGTAACGGATCATTTAATACTACAATTACTCAATTAATATAAAAACACAATTAATCAAATAATTAAAAACACTTAAAATAATTAATTCAAAAATCATCCGTTAATAAATAAATAAATAAAACAAATAATCAATTAAATAAACAAAATTAACAAATAAACAAGTAAAAATGCAATTTAAACAATACATTAAATACCAGGAATATCCTTTTAAATCTAGGGGTATTACAAATGTGTTGACCACTAAAATGACCAAAATGCCTTATAAGCCCACTAAACCACGATTAAGCCACTAACATGAAAAATTTCAAATGCACCCTCACATATACATCAAATAATATATAAAACATGTAATTAAGTTCAGAAAATATTTTTCGGACACGCAAATTTAGGCGTGGGACCCACACGAGGCCTCCCAGACCAAATTTTTGAAAAATACCAAAATGACTCAAAATATATTTCTAAAAGTTTTAAACTCAAAGAAATGTTCTAAATGACTCTTGGAACCCTCGTGGCACGTTAATCGGTGCATGACATACAAAAAGAGACACAAAAATAAAATAATCCGAAAGTAAAAAAAAAAAATTACCAAAAAAATAGAAAATTGCGAAACGTCACAAATTTACTCAACTACCTTTATTATTATATTGATAAAAAAGTTAAAAATACAAGGGATAGGAAATGACCATTTTGCCCATTACATATGGTTAAGACATTTTTTTGGTTGTTTTATTCCTCCATCCTTTTTCTTCTTCTCCTCGTTCTCTTTCTTTCTTCTCTTACCGCTTCAACCATGACCCCCTCTTCCCACCACCATCACTGCTACTACTTCAACCAAATCATCATAATCGTCACCACCAATTCAAAACCCCAAAACAAAAACAACATATTTATACATATACAAAGGCATTTATACACATGAATCATCATGAAACTTCATTGATTGAAAATAATTTTGTCCCTAACGATAGCAATTGTTTTAGAGATGATTGCTTTCGAGAGAGAATTATGGGTTTATGTAAAACCTTCAAACCCTAGGACCTCATCTCCCCAAATTCCCTCCAAAACCCTAATGTAACTCGTCTTCCTCAACCACGCACCTCTATCTCGCAATATATGCACATCCCTGCAACCACCAAGTGACAAACTCATAAACTACAGAGAATTACAGACAAGCTTATTAACCTCACCAAGCTTGAGAGGTTCAATCCTCTTCAGACACAAAAATGAGTGTACGGACATGCCGTGTCGAACCTCAATATCACTGGGTGCTTCAGCTGGGTCGGGGTTTGGCTTGACGAACATGGAGGCCGCCTTTTTCTTCAATGTAATGATCGAACCCATCCTGTCATGACTCATTCAAGGTAAAATGTTTTCCACGAGAAATTTATACTAACAAAATTCAATTTTTTCTTTTTAAATTTTTTTAATATAAAACTGTTTGATTGAAATGTTAACACTATTTATGTGGTGGTGATGTTGAGTTTCAATTAGGGTTCTATAATCATGACAAAAAGTCCTTATCAAACGTCAAATGGGGTCGGTTGGTGGCGGTGTTGGGTGTCGGCGATTGTGATGGTTACCGATGGTGGTGGTGCATGTTCCGTGTTGGCGATGGTGATGGTGTTGGGTTCCAATTAGTTTTGCAATCAGGACAAAATTAACAAACGCTGAATGGGTCGCTCTGCAATTATATACACATATAAGTAATAAGTTTGATTTTTTATATCTTCTCAATTATGGGATTTCTATTGAAAATGATACATATATATTCTTGTGCTCCGCATTTGTTTGTTTGTTTTTTTCTTTATATCTTGTGTTATAAATGAAAATGGTGGTGCACGGTAGTGAGGGAGAGAAGGATATTTTCGTCCATTAAATAAGACTTTCTGTCATTTGGTAATACTATAAGGGTAATAACGTCTTTTCCACTTGGTTGATGGGCAATTTAGTTCCTCTAACCAAATTTTCTGACAAGAAGGCCTAAATTTTGTATGGATGGGAGGTATTTGCAAAAACGGTTCGGACCTTAATGGGACACGTTGTTAATAAATGCATGAGTTTCATCAACTTGTAATTAGGCAAAACCTAAGGAGAGATTAGAGTAGGTTATCTATTTTTTTCTTTATAATTTTAAGACTACATTGGGTATTTTAGAAATTTTATTAAAGCGTTGTCCTTTCTCTCCAAATTTTTCCATTTTGAAAGGTCAAAATACAATTTAAAGGTAGCAAACCCTCCTAATATATCATTTTTCCTTTATTTACCTTCTTGAATTTAAAATCAAACATGGAAATAGCTCAAATTCCATAAATTCAAACGCATAAATGAAGAAATATCAAGGAAGTCCCCTTAGGTCACTCCTACGAATTACAAATTTTTATTTAGTAATGGTCGTGATACTACCATCGTTGACCAAAATAATAATAATAATAATAATAATAAATAAATAAATAAATATCACAAAGAAAAATTTATATATATATATTTTTTAACACGAGAGAAATTTAATTAATATATTGTATAACAATGCTATAGTGGCAACAAAATATAGAACTTTCTTCATCTTCTACCCTTGCTAAATAATGAAAGGTTTATGTCACTTTGATTCTTTAATTTACCCAACTAAATAAGGGAAACTCACTTTCATCTATATCAGAAGTTCATTATTATTATAATCGGAAGATAGTATAATTTATAAACAGTAATATTTTACTGATATAATTAAATTTATATGAGATCTTAGTTTGGACAATGCCAAATAATGCCATATGGATATTCGTATACACAATATATACTACTGACTGTATAGCTCTACAATTATGTGTACAATTCAATTAAGAAAAATAAGCTATACCGGCACTAACTTGAATTAAACCGCCCTTTTTAGGGCTCAGTTCAGTTTGGTAAGATAGGAATTGCAAGAAATTAAAAAAAGGAAATATATATATATATTTTTTAACATTTTAAAAGTTTAGTTAGCAAGAAAATAAAAAATTTAAATGAAAATTACTTTCTACAACCACATAACTTTCCCATAAACTTCTACTGAAAAAAACACAGAAAAAATTTGATTCCTTAGAAAGTTTTATGAACTTATACTAATGCCCTTTCTTCTTATGGTAATGTTCATAACTTTCTTTTTTTAAAAAAAATTAAGAATCGTGGTAAACAAATAGAAAATTTCCTTTCACTTGACTTTTTTTTTTTTTTTTTACTTACACTTTCCACTATTAATTTTCATATAACCAAACAGAGTCAAAAAAAAATTATAAATCATGGTAAACAAATAGAAAATTTCCTTTCACTTGAATTTTTTTTTTTTTTTAATTACTTACACTTTCCACTATTAATTTTCATATAACCAAACAGAGCCTTAAGCTTTGACTTGATTGAGAAATGGAAGAAGCTGCAATTATGAACTTTACTGATTGGGACTTAATTCAAAACACCCTTGGAAGCAGTAGAATGGAGGAGAAACAAAAATAGTAGTTCAAGTATATTTTTGGAATTATTGCATGTAAACTTAATCAATCAAGATACACAATCATAGTAATGTGCTTATATAACTCCATTCAATGATTTTACAAGGAAGGAAGATATATATATATATATTACCATATATAAGAGATTGAGCATCAACTCTCCCTCTCTCTCTATATATATATACTTGAAGAACCTAGCTAGCTATACCGTCTTGTACACACCATTCTTGTACACACCATTCTTGTACAAAAATTAACCCTGACAAATTATTGTGACCATGGCCATGGAAGCTCCACGAAGTTTAGAAGATCAATGTCCTTCAGATGATGCTTCAAGCATCTCAGAAGGATCTGATGGAAACTACTGCAACAACAACAAGAAGAATATGATCAAACTGAAATCCGAAGAAGAATTGGATCCAAATCCAAATCCAAATCCCCTATGCCTCCTACTCAACGATACAAGCCAAGAAGTGGTGTCAAAGTGGCCAGAAGAACCTTTGAACCCATCAAGAAGCGAGTCCGGCTCGAAGCGGCCGGAGGTGCCTAGGGTTTTCTCATGCAACTTCTGCAAAAAAGAGTTCTCTACTTCACAAGCACTTGGAGGGCACCAAAACGCCCACAAAGAAGAGCGGGCGTTGGCCAAAAGGAGGAAGCATGGTGGGATGATGGTTGGTGTCACGCCTTTCGAACACCGGCCCCACCCTTATCACTTCTATCCTTCTTATTCAAGTTTCCCTCCTCCTCCTCCTCCTCCCCATCATGGCCCTCTTCATGGCTCTTTCAATCAAAGATCACCATCTTCATCGCATTCGTATCTACTTGGAATTATACACGACTCCATGATGCACAAATCGTGGTCCGATATGCATCGTAGGTCGGCCTTGATGAATCATCCACAAGTACCGTTCTATGATCCTAGACTAAGGATGGTGATGGGTGGTGTTGGAGGTTCAAGTGGTTCTGGTTCTTCAGCAATGGCTTGTTTGAATAATTCTGCTGCGAATACTACTCCAAAAGTAGAAAGATCCGACTTTGAACATTCGGAATCATCAGGACTCGATTTGAATCTCAAGCTTTGATTACTGCATTTGTTTTAATTAAGTTATACTTGTTATATGCTTTATGTTTAATTTGTTCTGGTTTTAAGAAGTACGGTTCCAATTTCCATTTATTTTGCAATTTAGTTATTTGTTTCACTAAATGTTTAATCATTTTGAAATTTATTTCATTGATTTATTTTGCATGAGTCATGGTCCTCACAAAAATTAATTAGATCTATCTATGTGTGTTAAACATGTAGAACATCTCAAAAAACTTTAGCTATTTTTTATTTTTAAAAAAGAAAAATAAATAAACAAAATAAATAAATAAATAAAAAGGATAAAAAGGAAGTTACCAAAAGGGTCAATCCTATTTTTGTTCTAAGGTGATTTTTTATTTTTTATTTTTATCCTGGATTAGATGGTGACTTGAAGAGTAGCGATTATTAATGCTTCTTTCGGTAAGAAATTAAGAAAAAAATTAGATGGAAGGGAGAGAAGAAGGGGTGGATGAGGCATTCTCAGGGAAGAAATTATATATTTCCTTCTTTTTATTCCGTCCAATAATATTTATAATATTCTAATATATAGAGGATGACACTGTAATTTAAATAATTTAAGATAACATTTTATTTAAAACTTCTATAATAGTTCACTTGTTTTCCCTCTTTTCTTCTTGGGTATCCTCTAAGTTAAAATTACTCTAAGAGCATCTCCAACAGTTGTGTATGTATTTTTGTGTAAATCTGATGTGTCAGAATAGATTTACACAAAAATTTTGTACTACCTATTTTTAGCTCCAAACAATCAACCACGTGTCATACCCAATATCCTACATAACTTACCCAATATCCTACATAACTTTTGTCATACCCAATATCCTACATAACTTACTCAATATCCTACATAACTTTTACAAACTTACTTGATTCATTTACTTTTTCACGATTAAACCTCACGTCCCAATCCTTTTCAATTAAGAAAAAAATAAAAAATAATAAAAAATAATAATTTGTATAATTGAATCAGACAACAATTATATAAAATCATGATTAATAAAATATATATAATCTTTGGTTAGTACATATTTATCTCATTAGATGAATTTTGTAAAAATAATAAAAAAAATTCCACATTTACCAAGAAATTTTTTTTTTGTAAAATTTAAATTTTGAGCATAGTTTGCCATGATATCAATAGAAAATAGAGTTCTTCATTATTTAGAAATAATAAATCTTTGGTTAGTAATACCTAGATGCATTTTTATACAGTTTTATATTTAAACTTAAGTATAAATGGTCAAGGTATTTTAAAACTTTTCAATCTTAAAACGGTGCAGTGTCCTAACTTTTATTAAATTAGCTAAAGTGATTTAACATATGCCATAGATATATCTTACATGACACATGTCATTCTGTAGAAAATTAAACTTAGTTTTAACTTAGAGATCCAAATCCAAATTTGTAAAGGAGAAATGATGAGTCATCCTTCTTATTTCCTTTTTTTCCTTATTTATCTCTATCGAATAAAGAAATTTTGTTCCATTCTTCCTATTTTCTCTTTTGTTCCTTCTTTCTCCACACCTTTTCCTTTTTTTCTACCTAACAGAGTATAAGAGAAACCCTTATACATAGACGTAGTACGTGTTCAATTTCAATTAGCTAGGGTTGCCTCATGTCCTCTAGTAGTAAGTATATCAATATACTTTAGACTGAAACCGATTCCCAATGCGACCCGAGTCAAAACAATATTCGGGCCAAAAACTGAGTCAAAACAATATTCGTCAGCTTACATAAAACCAGTTGGATTTCTCCGACTCTCGGATTCTTGATCATAATTTTATAAATATTTGATTAATTTTTTTACTAGTATATAGATACAGATAGATAAATATAAACAATTACAAATGTGATAAGTGCATAATTTATACATAATTAACCTTCCAAATTATATTTGTTAGTATTTTATTTTAAATTATTTTATTTAATAAATGTGTTTTTATGTCTTTTAAGGTTATTAGTGAAAAATGCTCTATTTGCTTAGCTCATTGTGTGGAGGTCAAACGTCCAAAAGAATTTAAGGGTCAAGATAATTTATAGAGAAATTTAGAAGACTTTTCAGCAAGCCAATTTCGTTAACCCGTCATTTTTGTGTCTAATAGTAATTTCGTAAAATGCATTCCAACTAGGTCAAAATCAGGCTTCAATATGAAAAATAATTTCTGTCTGATTTCTTTTCCAACGAGTTCTTTCTTTATTTCTTTTAAAGAAAACCTTAAAAGATGGCTAAAAAAAGAGAAAGATGAGCAACCATAAGAAGGGAGAGACAAAAAAATACAGAAAAATATAGATGAATCGATCGGTTAAGGAACAGAAGGAGGCGGCTTATGGAACTGACATAGACAACATAAAAGACTTTCTACTTATGATTCCGAATTTGATTGTTCTTGTTTATTTTTCATGTGGTTCTAATCTCTAAGTCAAGGCTGAGAGGAAGCTATAATCTTATAACTCTATATTTTTCAATTGTTAAATTTATTGAATGGTTATTTGATGAATAAAATTTTTTCTCTATTTTTAAGGCATGTTTCAACTCAAATAATTTGATGTGCTTAACCATAGACTAAGATTGATTATATTTAAACTTTAGCATAAAGGTTGCTAGTGTTTGACCGTGAACTAGTCATCCTCATAGGGCTATTAGAGAAAAATAAAAAAATTACTAGTATGACAATTTATGCCTCACTACGGAAGAATAGTTGTAATTTATGTGTTTTTCTTCAATTAATTATTTATGATTTATGAATAAGATAATATATATTTAATTGAATCTATCCCTAATCAAATATATACCATCTATGATTTAAACGAAAATATTATGTATTGGATGTGTGAAAATTAAAGTGGACATTTGATAAATTTACAATTGAAAATAAGAGTTATAATTATTAGTGGTGGAATCCAAGTCTTGGTTCTTATTTATCCCGTCTTCATATTAACGTACTCATTGTTCTTTTAGATTGAATCACTCAATTTTTGGTTAAATTAGTTAAATAATAGTTCTAGAATTAATTGTCCTAATTAGTCCCCGTGGGAACAATCTTGTAATACATGCTATGTCTACATATGATTCGTTATTTGTGAATTAAATCAACTCAATTAATAGAATAATCTAAATCAAATTTAATTCGCAAGTATATGAGTCATATGTAAACATGGTGTGTATTATGAGATAATTGACAAATTAATTCTAAAATTATTATTTAACTAATTTAATAAATATTTGATGATTCAAATAAAAAAACAATACAATTGATAAAATAAGGAAATGGAAATAAATACCAAGACTTTGATTTCACCACTAATTATCATAACCCCTATTTTTAATTGCAAATTTATTAAATGTTTGATTTCATATCCACACATCCAATATCTAATATTTTCAATTAAATTCATGGACGGTCTATCCTTCATAGGCATAAAATTTAATTAAATTTATGAATGGTCTATCCTTGATTAGACATAAATTCAATCAAATATTTATTTCATCTTGATCATGATTCATAAATAAATAACTGAAGGAAAAACATAAACTATAACTATTTAGATTATAATTTATTATCTTTTTCTCAAATAGCCCTATGAAGATTACGAATTCTTGGTCAGACACAAATAACATTTATGCTAAAGTTTAAATACAATCAATCTTAGTCTTTGGTTAAGCACATAAAATTAATTGAATTGAAACTGCATTAAACAATAGAGAAAAAGATTTTATTAATATTCAATAAATTTAACAATTGAAAATTATAGAGTTACAAGATTAGGGCATACTTTCAGCCTTGGATAAGATTTTAAAACCCCATGAATAATAAAATAACAATAACCAAACCTAGAATCAAAAGTAAAAGGTATTCTATGGTTAATTTCTTTGTCAATTGCACGAGCATCCTTGAGCCTCCTCTTTTTGTTCTTTAGTCGCCGATTGATCCTCTATATTTTTTGTCTCTCCATTCTCATGGCTGCTCATCTTTCTCTTATATAAATATCCTTTATGTTGTGTTTGATATGCATGAATGACATAGAATGCAAGTAAGAATGGAATGAGAATAATAATAGAATGGAATGGCCATTCTCATTATATTGTTTGGTTATAAATATAAAATGTGTAGAAATGAAATGATAATAACCATTCTAGTGTTTGGTTGGATCAATTTAAAATTTTGAATAGAGTAAATTTCAAATTGAGTTCTCTAAAATATCTTTCTTAGTATCAAATAAATTAATATAAATTAAGAAAATGATATTATTTTATAATTTTTTAAAAATAAATGGTGACAGTGAAGGTGGAAAACAATAGTAGTGTTAGAATGTGGCGGTGGTGGCAATCATGGAAGGTGACGGTGGCAATGATGGTGGAAGTCGGCAGTGATGTTAGTGGAAGGTGGTGGTAGTAGTGTTGTGGTGGTGGTGGAAGGAGATAGTAGTGTAGGTGGCGGTGATGGAAGCCAATGAAGGTGATTGTGATGGTGGTGGAAGGTAGGGGAGGTGGCAATGACAGTGTTAGAAGATGGTGGGAAGCGGTGGTGGTGGTGGCCGAAAGGTGATGGTGGTGGTGGTAGTAAAAGGCGGTGGCAGTGGTGGTGGTGGTGGTGGTGGTAGTGGTGGAAGACGGTGGCAGTGGTGGGGGTGGAAGGCAATGGCGGTGGAAGGCGATGGTAGTGGCTGGTGGTAGTGGTGGCGATAGCAGTGGCGATGGTGGAAGGTAGCAGTGGTGAAAGATGGTGGTGGAAGGTGGTGGCTGTGGTGAAATGCGATGGTGGTGGTGGTGGAAAGTGGCGGCGGCGGTGGTGGTGGAAAGCGGCAGGTGATGGTGAAAGTCGGTGGCGGCGACGGTGATGGAAGGCAGTGATAGTGGTGGAGTCAGTGGTGGTGGTGGTGAAAGGCGAAGGTGGTGTGGTGGAAGGTAGTGATGGCTTTTAGACTTAGAATACATGGGGTTTTTGGGAAATTGATTTTTTTATAAAAGTTACTTGGGAATGAAATGGTCATTCCATAGGTTTAGTTATGGAATTGATTTTCATTCAAAGGAATAAATTTTCATTCCAATGGAATGACAATTCGTACTTTAAATTGCATACCAAACAAATGAATGATTAAAATGATCATTCAATTTTATTCCATTCATGCCCACCAAACACAACGTTAGGATTTTCTTTAAAAGAAAGAAAGAAAGAACTCGTTAGAAAAGAAATCTGCTAGAATTTTATTTCCATATTGAATCCTGATTTTGACCTAGTGGGAGTGTGTTTCATGAAAGTACTATTCTGCATAAAAATGACGGACTTCGAGTGTTCTTTTAAGAGCTTTTGAGTTTGCATAATTCTGAATTTTGAATCAGAAGATATGCCCAAAATAGTAAACTAGTTCAGAACTTTCTGTCCAAAATGTTTCCGTATTTGAATATGTAAGTTTTATTTCTTCTCTAAAGTCCTGGAAAGAAATTGGAAAACTCTTTTAAATTTCTTTACAAATAATATTGCCCCTTGGATCCTTTTGGACATTGACCTCCACATGATGAGCTAAACAAATAGAGCATTTTTCATAAAAATCATCAATAACCTAATAAGACATAAAAACACGTTTATTAAATAAAATACTAACAAATATAATTTTGAAGGTTACCCTCCGTCCCAAAAATATTTGTCCATCTTTATATTTTGGGTTGTTCTAAAAAACATTTCTCATTTCAAAATTGAATGTAATATTTTTTTATAACATTTCCAAATTATCATTTTAACTAAACAAATACCTCATGTTATTATTTGGATAGTGAATGAAAAACTTTCTTATCCTTTACACTTGCAAGTATATATAACGGACATTATTTTTTGTTTGTAGTCTTCTTCTTATTTCACAGTGCACCTTGTCAATTGGCAAGGAAATGTCCCAGCTCCTACTCTTTTAGCTAAATAAGCTTTGCAGATAAAAAAGCTAATGTTTGTTTCTTGGAGCATTTTCCTCCCGACCTTGTGAGTGTTGTGAAACTTGATTGTAGCTTTTGGTAGTTTTATTTATCTTTATTGCCGGGAAAAAAATAAAAAAAAGGGAGAGTGCTGGACCACTATTTTATCTTTTAATAAGGATATATTTGAAACTTCACTCTTATAAATACAAAAAAAAAAAAAAAAAAACTATAAAAACTCTATTGCTATAACAAGTTGAATTCTCTAGATAAAACCGTATATTTTGGAATAAATGGAGTATAAATTATATGCACTTAGGTGGATGGGGTGGTGTTGTATCATAAATGTGCATTAATCATTTGAGCCCACCACCCCAATACATATATGTTAGTTGACCAAATGAGCACCTTGCTGGAAAGAAAGGAGCCCAAAATCTTAAATGCAAACAACTTAAAAAAAAGGTACTTGAGATAAAAAATAAAAAAAACTATTTTAGAAATATGTTTTTAGCAAATTTTTTATTTTATTTTTACCTTGGTAAGAAATGTCTTTAACAACTGGATTACAAAAACTGTTAGATCGCAATCTCAAGCAATTTGATGACGAATAAGAATTAAAAAAAGAAGAAGAAGGTATTTGCACTTAAAATTGCACCTTATTAGTATTTGAAAGCAGGTTTGATTTACTTTAAAAATCCCGAAAATGTCTTCTCCCATTAACTTTGTTTAATTGCTAATTACATACTTATTCAAATACAAATAAATTGCATTTCAATAAAAAAGAATGACAAATTGGTTGTGTTACAAACTTACAACTAAATTAATTCACAAATCCTATCAAATTCCTCTAGTTTTGAGATTTTAAATTTCATGAAATTTAATTTAATTTTAAGTTCTTTTGATTTTCGAACATTGCTTCCTTTGTTTAAATAGTAATAGCCAGAAAAGAAGGGAAATATAATTTTTTTTTGAAGTAGAATTTTGGATAGTAGAAAAAGGAAACAATTGACCAAAAATTACTTTCCATAACCATACATCTTATAAAATTTCCTAAAAGTAATTATTTTTAGAAAGTTTTATAAAGCTACAATAATACCTTTAGTTGCATGTTATTCAAACTATAAAATTACAAATTTTCTATTATTCTAATCAAAGAGACAATTTTATTTTAATTTTTTTTTTTTGGGGGAAAACTACACTTACATTGAGTTAGAAGCTTAAAATAACAAAGCAATTTATTTTAAAAGTTTGCTTTTCACTTTGATTGAATTAAGAAAAATAATTACATATACTTTGAAAATCATTTTTAAGATCCAAAATATCCTCCAAAATGCAATATATATATATAGTACATTCTTATGACAATTCACTCCAAGCAATGCAATATTTATATATATATATATATATATATATATAGTACATTCTTATGGAAAGTGTATGTCTATATATAAGGATAAGGGGTTACAATTAATTAATTATTAGAAAAAAAAGGGAGAAGCATAGTTTGTCTATGAGGGCAAGAATCTATGTATTTTGTTCTACGTTTTCCTAAATTAAATGATACCAAATTATCTAGTTAAATGATACTCAAAGTGGGTTTGGTATTTTTTTTTGAATTTTTTGAGTTAAGGAATGATTTAATTTTAAAAGAATAATTTGGTATTTTAAAATATAAGTTAGGAGGATATTTTAAATTTTAATAATAATTCTTGATGTATATGTAATTATTTTTGTTCATTCAATCAAAATGAAAAATAAACTTATAAAATAGGCAACTCTATTATTTTGAATTACTACTTACTAACTCAATATAAGTGTATTTTCCTTTTTTATTTCCTTTTATTCACTCTTTTCTTTTTTTTTTTTTAAATTTCTTTTTATCTTTCCATCTAATAATAATAATAAAAGGCCTTGATTTACATTACGGAACCCAAATATGACCAAATTGAGTATTCCTTTTGTATTTTTACCAGGAAAGAATTCATACACGTGTCAAGGGATGATTGGCAAGTACTTTCTAGAAAGTCATAGGAGAAACGGGGAATCCAGTCGTCGGTCCTGATATAGAATCTTCACCTCGTATAAAGAGGCTTTCCATTATCATCTCTGTTCCTAACTTTCAATTCGTTGACGCTACATTGTTGTGTTTTTGCTGTTTCTTCATTCATAGGCTTTCTCAGGTACATATCTATTCATTCATATATAGATATATATCGTATATATATATAGATGTATGTTCCCATATATATGGATTTGTTTTTATTTATTTATTTATTTTTTATTACGTAAAACATGCTAGAATTTTCTTGCGGTGGACATCAATTTTTGAAATGTATGTCGATGCATCCATGAATCGAAAACGTGATGGGGCGTTAGGCAAAATCGAGGGTTTTTTGAGTTTGATCTGTGTGATTTGGGCGCTCTTTTTGGTGATTTTCTCTCATTAATCCTGTATTTTGAATGTGTATGAATTATACCATGTTTGGGTGATTGTAGATGTATTCTTTGCACCCTCCACATACTTAGGAGGTAAATTGTTGATTTGATTTGCAGAAGGACAATGCCTCAGAAATTTAGGGATTTGTGTGTTTTTGTTTTAATTATGGAACTAGATTTAGATGTGTATGAACGTTATCAAATTATGGAACCAGATTTAGATGTGTATAAACTTTATTATGCTATTTTCAATGATTTTGCCTCGTCACCTCTGTATATAAAAAATTGAAGTTTTAAATCTTATTATATATGTATTTGAGGGCAAATATAGGATGCTGAGGGTTCATGGATTATTTTTAATTGAATTAATAATTTTCGTGTTCCATCTCGAAGTTCTGAAGCCGCGGTTGCTATTTATAATGATGGTTGTTGATAAATGAAGATTTTTTTATTTTGGTCAGCTCTCTTTTATGAATATGTTGCTATAATTTGGTGATTTGGATGACTTGATATGCGTGCTGTAGGGGTGTACTGAGCATGAAAAAAAAAAAAAGAAGAACAAGAGAAATCAAGACAAATATATAGGAACTTACATTACAATGCAAAAAGTGTTTAAGATTGCCTATTTCACTGCAAAATAAAATTAGAACAATATGATACTCATTGCAAGCACTAATTGTCTATTCAGCTATGCATTGTAAGTATTAACTAGTACATTCCCCAAAAGTAAGTTCGTCAATCGCTAAGGCTGTCCTACCTACAATAATAAAATATAATTAGGTATATATATATATATTGTATATATATAACAGATTCATGTGTCATAATGAAACATAATCTAGCAAATATCAACATAATAAATGGATTTAAAGTAAGATTTGAATTGAACGCATGCATATTTGAATCTGAACAAATTGGTTTATAATAAAATATCAAAATGCATATAATCTGTAAAACACACAATACTCAACATTTTGTGAGAGTTACATAACAAACAAATAAAGCATCTTAGCATAATCTGCAAAGATAGACAATAATATATATAAATGACTGAAATAGAAAAGATTTAGATAAAATTCCTAAATCTCAAAAACAAAATGGAATACAAAAAAAAGTGATGTTATTCTAATATACACACACATTTATCTGAGATCCAAGAACAAAGTATAAATATGTTTATAGAGAATAAATATCTAGTGAGAGAGGAGAGAGATTGATATTTTTGGATTATTTGGAAAGTAAAAAGGTTGGGGCCAGACTAATAATTTTTTAAGTCTCGGGGCTTTTCGTAAAATCAGAAAAATATATGTATAAAATTACGAAAAAAATGGGGAAGACAAAAAAATTACCATGTGTTGTGTGGGGGGTTGGGTGGGGCAGCTGGCCCCATGGCACATGGTAAATCTGTCCCTGTGTGCTGTCAGTTTTGGATGGTTTTATTATATATATATATATTTTCTTGAACAATTTGGATAAATGGACATGAAGCTTCCACTTGCTTAAATTTTATTTTATTTTTTCTTTTTCAACTAGTGGTTTTCACTTTTGATCATTATATATTTTCCAATAGGTGTGGAGTTACGGATTTTACTGGAATATGAATCAATTCTTGTGAACGTGTTTGAACTCATTATCGGAACCTAGCATTTTTAAGCAGAACAAGACATACTCACATTTTCTATAGGGATAGTTGTGTTCATTTGTTCTTTCAAATTATATCTGTTGGTTCTATGCATTCACTACCGAAACATTGTTTAATTTCTTAGATAGAGAACGTGTAAAGAAGAGAAGAAGCGCTTGTAAAACTGAGGCTTTTTTAGTATCCGTCTCTTGTGAAGTTTTTGATATTCCTCACTTTGAAATATTCTTAAACTTATACGTCTTGTTAGTCATTTGCCTCTTTATCTAAAGAAAATAAGATATTTATGTAGTCTATATGAGTATGTGTAGTAGCACGAGTAATGCTTTCATAATTAGTTTTTTTTGTTTTTAGATGCTTTAAGACATGACATTCTCTTTTGGTGCATGCATTGATATTTGCATTTGTTGGCAGTTAATGATTTTTCTTATCTCTGCCTCCAACTGACACTCATGGTTTATGACCGGGTTTGTATAGGTCATCTTGCTCACTTCCACTAAAAATCTTGCAACCTTCGGTAACATAAGCGGCTGAGACTTTATTATATCGGATTGTGTGAGATGGCTGAGGTATTTTTTACAAAATTCATTTAATGCAAATATTTCATTATCGCACTCCCCATTCACTCCTTTTGTATTGTTTGATTGCATTGTTTACTTATTGCTCTTTTTCTAGGAAAATGGTAAAATTAATGGTCTTAATCAGAAAAAAGTATGTATTTTCACTTACTACCTTGGATGGTGACAGGAGGGTCAGAAGGTATCATTGAACGTTTACGACTTAAGCCAAGGATTAGCTCGCCAGCTCTCCACGGCATTTTTGGGGAAAGCAATTGAGGGCATTTGGTGAGTGTTTTATCTGTTCTAGAGCTACAATAATTGGACATTCTTATTAAGTATATATATATATTTTCCATTTTCATTTGAGCTTTAACTCTTGACCAGGCCTTATTTATGTAAGAAGTAGATATTAACAGCTCTTAAACAAGAGAAATTGCTGATACACTTTCATTCAAGGAGTTAACATTCACATATGACATGTGAACCGACATCACACTTGTGAAACAAATATTCTTCTGTTGTTCACACTTTGGCGCAACAAATATTATTGTGTTTGGTTCTACAGATATTCTACTATTGTTCACTTTTTGGGTCTTGATTTTAGAGAGAAGAAAGAAAAAGAAAAGAATTTGGACATGCATTTATTCGTTGGTTTTGTCCAACCAATTCCTCTTCTCATTCTCATATACATATATATATTGCAGTTTGCGGGTTATGTTCTTGAAATTACTCGGGTCTTGTTTATAATGGCTTTTGAAAAGCTTCTTTTGGCTTTTAAATCCCAAAAGCAGATTTTATGAATGTTTGGATGGTCTGGATGAAGAGCATTGGCCATTTGTATGACCATTTTGGGGAGCAGCTTCCTTGGAAAGTTGTTCAACAAAAACATGGGAATATGCCGAGCCTTTCAATGGAACATTCAGAATTCCATTTTTGACCCTTATGTTCTTAGTTGAGAAAAAGAATACCAGTTGTGTCCTAGTTTTGGCAAAAAATTTCTTTGTGAAACAATAGCTTTCAAATGCTTCCTCTTCTCTCCGTTCACCATGGCAGCACCTTACTCTTGGTCTTCTTGCTGGTGATTGTCGTCACCTTATCATCATCTCATTATTTTCTTGCTCCAGTAGATCAATCTCTTTCTTGGACTGTTCCACTTATATTCTCTAGCTATTTGGGTTACACTATTTTGTTTGATATTAGTTTTTCTAGAGGTGATTTTCCAGCCTCTAAGTTCTATAAACCTTGTATTATTGGTTATATGGTAAACAGAATAACTTTCCCAAATATCTTGAGATAGTTCTCCTTAAATCAGGGTTTGATTTTCTGTTCATTGCCAACCACTGGGATGAATTGTTGGAATGCTAACAGCTTTTTGTTTATAATATATTTCATTTTAACCTTTTTTTACCTTTCCTTGTTGGTATCTTATAGTACATGGTCATGTGAATGAACATTTTACATATATACATATCTATACCTATACTACTATTAAAAGTGTATAGAATTTTTAATTTTTATATACACTATATTACTTTAATATCTTTATATTTTTTAATAGTTTTGTTGGTTAATTCCAAAAGATGTGACTCATCCAAAAGTTATTGAGTTTCCAAAAGCCAGATATTTAGTTTTTGTTTTAAATTTTAAATTTTAAATTCAAAAATATGTAATTCATCCCAAAAGTCGTTGAATTTTAAAAGTCATGCATTTTCTCAATAAGATTTTTAATTTTTATATACATTTTTAGAAATTTAATTTTCCCTTTAAATATACATAACTTAATACAAAATTCACATACTGTGTATAGAATTTTTAATTTTTATATATACTACAGTACTTTAATAGCCTTTATAATTTTTGAAATTGTTTTGTTGGTTAGTACCAAAAGATGTGATTCATCCAAAATTTATTGAGTTTTGAAAAGCCACATCTTTAGTTTTTATTTTTAAATTTTTTATTTTTATTTTTTATTGATTCATTAAAAAATACCTGATTTATCCCAAAAGTTGTTGAATTATCAAAAGTCACGCATTTTCTCATGCCTGTTCGTTGTAACACTGTTGTCCTATAAATAGATATGCAAATTAATTTAGATCCTACTTACGATCAAAATGATGATTGGAATTATATAGGTATATACATATGTAACTAGTACATGCGCACATATATATATATATAAATACACACATTATCCATGATAGCAGTTGAATTGAGTTTCAACAACGATGTAGTCAATAATTTGAGTTTTCATAGAGGAGTTCAATGATTTATGAGCAACATAAGAGTTACATCAGGAAAAAAAGGAGTGTGAAACAAAGTTTAATCAGACGTTCAAGAATGGTATATGAACAAGGTACAATCCCTTAAGATTACAACAAGTCTTAAATTTTATCTTATTGGATCATGGAACAATACAAAGCAATACAAAGAGGCTTCAGCTTGTCTGCATTAGAGCAATGTGACGATCACATCAAGGGTCTTTGATCAGACATTGGTATTAAGATTTAAGGAAGGCTTATCCATGTTTGAGCGAAAAATTTGGTTTGATTAAAAGAAAACAAAAAAACATGTTTAAGGATTTACAAATTTATCACTTCTTGTTGCAGGAAAAACTATTTGTTCTATACTTTTGTTGACACAGCCAGCAATGGTTTTTTTATTAGTTATTTATTTATTTTTATCATTTTCATGGATAAAATAATCTATATGCTTAATTGGTCAGTTTGAAGTTGCGCAATGCCAAGAAAGTAAATTTGCACAATTTCATAATGGGTCTAGTACCTTCCAAGCAAGCATGGACCTGTGTATTAGTCAGTGGGGGCATGCCCCCACTGAATTCTTTTTGTTTGGTATTATATCCCCGTTGCTTCTTTATTTTTGAATTATATACCTATAAAGTTTCACTTTTGCCCCCACTGCCCCCTCACATAATTTTCTGGGTCTGTCCTGCTTCCAAGTTGTTGCACATGGTGAAAGGTGCAGGGGTAGTATTTGTGAAGGTAAATTGTGGAAGTTGTAAACAGAACTTGCAACAGAGCTCTTATGATTAGATAACATTTTGTCAAACTTCCATTATTTGTCTCTGTATGGATCATTGATTTCAATTTTATTGCAGAAGAACTTCGGACACAAGTTTAATTTCATTGGTATATTTAAGAGAGGAACTGCATGTGTTGAGTGATTCATTAGGATTATTATTTATTGGGTGTTTTGAGGAATGAGTGTATGACAAATAGTCTAACAAGTTTACTTTCCGAAACAGGTCAATAAAGCACTTCATTTCAGGGCAAAATCGTTATTTCACATTACAAAAGCTTCAGTAAATGTTTTTGCGTTTGCCAGACAAAAAAAAAAAAAAAAAAAACGCTTTTCAAGCATTAAAAGCTCTTCTGAAACATAATTCATAAGCGAAATGGAAGCAATAGCTTCTTCTTCTCTTCTTCTATTGACTAAAAAGCAAAACTAAAAGCTATGCCAAATCAACACTTATATTCCCACCATTTAAAGACAGTTAAAGAAAGACGTGGGAGCCATTTTTGGGCGCAATTGGAGCCCAACAAGTCACATTCATTTGCTTTTATACATTGGGAGTTCATTGGCATGGTTTTCACCTTTCAGATTTTGATATTTGCATAATGTGTTTTGAGACATGGTTTTGATATATATATTTTTCCTTTTGAATGACAGGCACACAGGCGTAGTCGTTTATGGTCATGAGTACTTTTTTGGGGGCGGTATACAACATGGCACTATTGGAAAAACACAATATGGAACCCCGATTAAAGTGGTAGATCTCGGTGTCACGCATGTTCCCAAAGATGTTTTTGAAATGTATCTGCAGGAGATTAGCCCTCGGTATACAGTCGAAACCTATGACCTCCTAAATCACAATTGCAACAACTTCAGCAACGAGGTTGCTCAATTTTTGGTGGGTGTGACTATTCCAGAGTATATTCTGAACCTCCCTAATGAAGTTATGAGCAGCCCAATGGGTTCTCTTATATGTAAGTTCTCATTTCTTGTGCTTCATGTTATCATCCGTGAAACATATTTTTCGTTTTATATTTTCGATGTGTGTGGTTGAGCCAACTAAGTCACTTGCGAATGCAATGAGCTTGAGTTTCTAAGAAACCAAGCATTTGGAGAAACATTTGTGAACACATTCACGCACATCTTTTTGCTGGTTCTCTGTTTCAATATGATCTTTAAAGAGGTTGGCCAATGGCTGGCGACTATAGAAAGGAAAGGATGTATAGGATAGACATATTGTCATGGGAATTTACTGTCTGACTGACTGTCTCTGCAGTGCCTATGATACAGAAGCTGGAGACAACATTGAGAGAAGGTGTTGTTCCCCAAACTCCACAATTCAGGCCGTCTACGATGGCCCAAACATCCCAGCCCATGAGCTCTGCCAACAAAACTTCGGGTAGTTCATCCACGGGAGGAGGGGATAAAGTGAAATCTGAAGAGCAACCTGCAAAGGTGGGGGAGTCAAAGACGACGGACAACATAGTCCCTCCTGCTGCGAAACCTGCTATCGCACAAGAGAAGTCGCCTGTCAATGGTGTTGCAGGAGATCCTCTAGGGGATGCACGTAGCAAGGTGCAGGAGGAGATCGGCAATGAATTTGCTGCGCTAATGGCAACTGGAACATTGCGTGCGAGTGAAGCCGCAGCCATCGCTACTAGGAAAGTGATGCAGAGGTATGGACATATTAATGTTGCACAAAGCTAGCACTGAGAAGGAAAGAATTGAACTAGTTGGTACAACTACCTTTGCTGTAACATCTTAATTTTTATGTAAAACCATATTCTTCTGCAAATTGCAAATGAACTTTGTTGGGGGGCTTGAAGCTGGGATGTTCTCAGCTTCACAATTGATTAAATTGAGTATGAGGCATTTGAATTAAATTAAATTAAATTTAAATAATTAGTTATAGTGTCTGAATCCATAACATATATGATGAGATATAATTGGTTGGTAATACTAGGTTTGCATGATGGTCGACACCATTAACCTTGCAGCCCTAAAGAATGATGTTTGTGTAAGAGAGAGAGATGATATGGGAAGCCATCCACTGCAATCTTCAAGATCTGTTTACAATGTGGCCTGGAATGCCACCATTTGTCAGGAATTTTTTTTTTTTTTTTTTTGTCCTACCAGTCTGGAAACCTTGGCCTAGGGTTTAAGACTTTTTAAAGTTAAAAGTCAGAATCACCATACTGAGAACTGGGTGAGAGAACACATGATATATAACAGGGCATAACTTCAATAAATGACTATATAATGCGTTCTGTTTTAGACAAGATATATTACAAATCCTTCTCACTCCTTCAGTCTTGGCTCAGTTTGTTTGGATGTAAAATATTTTTATTTATGAAAGAAAAAAATGTTAAAACCTACAAAAATAAAAAAAAAAGTTATTTTATATGCCTTCATGATGAATTCGACCTGAATCACACTGAAAAAGAAAAAAAGAAAAAAAAAAAAAAGTCTTTTCCAAGGAAAGCCTGCGAGTGGTCCCCTTTCTTAGAGAGTAGCTCTAGAAGCTCGGTTATTTGATGGCTGAGTCAATTGAATTTTTGACCTTGTTTGGATGTAAAATATTTTTATTTATGAAAGAAAAAAATGTTAAAACCTACAAAAATAAAAAATAAAAGTTATTTTATATGCCTTCATGATGAATTCGACCTGAATCACACTGAAAAAGGAAAAAAAAAAAACAAAAAAGTCTTTTCCAAGGAAAGCCTGCGAGTGGTCCCTTTTCTTAGAGAGTAGCTCTAGAAGCTCGGTTATTTGATGGCTGAGTCAATTGAATTTTTTGAGACCACAACACAAGAGAAGTGATTGATTTCCAAAAATAATAGATGGTTTTTGCTTATATATCCTGTGATGCCCGGCCTCATCTAACATGTTGGTTATTTTTTTATTATAGTATTTTTTTATGAATTTAGAATCAACTCACCTGGTAGTCATTTTGAATTCTTGAATGATATGTAAACTTCCCTTAAACTATATGTATCATTTAAGTCTGGATATTTTTGCGCCTCGTAAAAATCAAATTGGACTGGACGTCCGAATTATGAGAAACTCTTCATAAATTGTACATATCATTTAACACTGGGTGTTTTTTGCATTGTAAAAATCAAACTGGACTGGACGTTGGAATTTACGGTTCACCCCAAGAATCCCCTTTTCCATTGGGTCACTCGTGCGAGTTCTTCCTTTCCATTGTGTGTTTTTCATTTCATTTGGTTTCAATTAGGAGTGCACACGGTCTGTTTTGGTTCGGTTTTGAAGATTTTTGAAACCAAATCGTTCCCTATGGTTCCAAAAAATCTGAAACCGAATTAGACCATTTTAGCCATGGAACCAAACCAGCCCAAATCATGAAAAAACGGTTTAGTTTGGTTCGATTCCAAGGTTCTAGTTGAATTTTATTTTCTGATTTTTTTCCCTTGAATTGTATATATAACAAAAATATCAATAAAGACATTCAGATTTCCAATTCCAAGATTAAAATAGAAAGAGAAAAATTGAGGGGAAAGTGGGTGAAATAGATCCAAAAGCTAAATCTTATAAATTAAAATAAAGTTGAATCTTGCTGAAGCTGAAAAAGATGACAAATCCGTAGTTGAAAACTAAGAAACTTTATTCGTTGTCGTTGTTGGTTGTGCACAAACACACCGTGAGACTCAGAGATGAGAGTGTGAGAAAGAGGATGTCACCGATGACAAACGATAGAAGATCGACGGCGATGACCGACCATTGAAGGTCGTTTGAAAGAGATTGATCAACAACAGAATCTCGCGGTGTTAAGAACTAAGAAGTGAATGAGGCTGCGTGAACAAAGAAAAAAAATGCGATAGTGGAGAAATATTGGCACGCACCAAAAAATTAAAACATTGAGAGAAGCAAAAATAAATAAATAAAATATCATATAATGATGAATATTGGCTTCCGTTTAATCGTGGTGCCGAAATCCCTTGCAAAGTTAAGAGTAATATATAGATATAGCTATATATATATAAAATATAACATATATTTATATACATATTATAACAGGTTCGTTTTGGGCGGTCCGGTCCTGTAGGACCCTAATCCGAAACTGAACAAAAAATTCACCGTTCCATTATTTTGAAATCATGACCGAACCGAACTGTTATAGAACCAGACCAACCTATCCGATTCGGTCGGATCAGATTTTATTTTTCCGATTGCTGGTTTGTTTTTTGCACACCCCTAGCTTCAATGGTAGAGACATGGGACTAATATTATTTTTTATGCAGTATAAAGCTAAAATAATGACGTCACGCTCTTACATTAGCCATGAGTATTCTTCATTAACCGCTGGCCTGGATTATCTTTTTGTCTTTACGTTCACAAATCTCGATTTCAATTAGGAGAACTCGTGGACAGCATTACTCTTCCACAATTCAATTAAGATGATCTTGTCCTTCACATCACAAGAGATATATATATATATATATATATATATATATTCACGATCTCTTATTTATCAGTAAACAAAATAGTTTATTCACACAAAAAATGTTGAATGTTAAATATGATTTAAGTGTGAAAAAAAGAGTAATTATTAAAAATAAATAAATAACAATTGGATAAATTTCTTGCTCACCCGGACATCATTTATATATATATATATATAATTAGGAATAAAATTTGAATAAAAAGAAAAATAATATTTTCTTTATAAAATAATAAATTTTTTTGTACTAAAATCGAATTTTCTATACAAGAGTTTTTCAATTGAATTTAAATTAGATTAATTATTATTTAAAGTCATAATGCAAAATTATTAAATAACTAAAACATTTTTTTTTGAAAGGTTAAATAATTAAAACTTAAGGAAACAAATAAAAAGCTAGATTATATATTAATTCTTAAATAAACTTATAATTACAAAATTTTAATTCTATTTAGTAAGAGTTTTACATGAAAGATTTAGTGATTTAGGACTTAAATAATTAAAATAAAAAAACTCAAAAGTAAGATTTTTGGATGTCCAAATTTGTTCTATTTTCTTAATTGCCTCTCCAAATCAGCTCAATATATACCCAAAATCTAAGGAGTAATTTACTTGAAATATTATTATTATATATTGGCCTTTAAGAGTATGATTACCAAAAAAGTAGTTAAAGAAATAAGATCATATATGAAAAACATCATCATTTGGCATATAATATGATGGGTAAAGATTGTTCAATGATAGGGGGAATAAAACTATATTAATTATTATGAAATCATAAAACACACTAAAGACTTTGGGTACGTATCAGCTTTATTGGATGATGAGAAGACAAAAGCAAATTCCAAGACCTATCAAATTATTTTTTCCACCAAAACAAAAGCTTCTCGATCGCCTCTCACTCACTGTGCACGGATCTGACACCACTGCCCTCGCCTGTGGGTCAGATTCCGTTCTTATCTACCCTTCTTCCCTCCGCCTCAACTTTGAAACCTAATAAACCAAAACCTAGCATAGAAAACCAATCAAACCCTCCATGCTAGATTCTCTCTCTCTCTCTCTCTCTCACTCTCTCTCTCTCTCTCTCATACACACACACACACGCACACAATAATTCATGGTAGATCTCAGTCAACTACATCTCTTAGATATAGAAATTTGGATTTTAAGCAATAAAATCAATCAAACCACTAGATACTAAAAACAATGGCATGGTAAATTAATGGAAGACTCTCTCTCTCTCTCTCTCTCTCTCTCTATATATATATAGTCCATGGTTTTTTCCTGAATGTCTATAAATACCATGCTTCTAGACAGCTAAGGAACATATCAAGAACTATATATATATTTCTTATCGTTGATAAAATTTGGAAGCATTAATATGAATAACAACAAACATAAAAAATTTAAATAAATTCCCCAAAAAAATAATAAAAAAATTTCAAAAAAACATACATCAATATATATATATGTGTGTGTTTCAAATCTGAACCAAACAATCACAAATAATTTGTGTACACACTCTCTCTCTCTTCCTCTTCCCTTTCTTTGCAAGATCTCTCTATAAAGAAAACTATGGTAACAAAACCATCATCATCTATATATAAAACATATTAATGGGTACATACAAATATATCAATATATATATATAGAGTATCTCTTGCTATACATTTCTAGGGGTTGAGGAAGAAAAAGATGAACATCGATCAAAGTAATGCTAACAATTGATGACATAACAAACTTCTTACTGAGGGACAAGCACTATTAATGGCTAGCTAGCTACTCATATATATAAAGACCATAAAGATGACAATAACTATGGCGCCGGCCGTTACAACGTCCTCTCCATCATCTTCTTCAACTGCTCCCACCAACACATGCAGCAATTGATCATGCCCTAAACTACTACTTTACCTGTTGGAGATAGGGTTAGGTCCGCTCGGGACCTCGTGAGCACCGGCTTCGAACTCTCTGCCATTAGAAGGAGTGTGTGAATTTTGGGTAGGGTTTCTTTTAGGGTGCAAGTTCATAGTAGAGGTGGTAGCTGGTGAAGTGGGAATTGAGGAGGCCATGGAGGGCTTTAATGGATCGGCCGAGTGGACGAGGACGAGGAAGATGAAGAGAAGGCCTAGAATGAGGAGGAGAGGTTGTGACTTTGTGGAGGTTTCAGAGATTGGTGTTCTAATTGTGGCCATGCAATTATCAGGATTAATAAACCACCCCCCAAGAGTCCACAAGAGATCAATATCCATGAACCAGTCACACCACCAAGGCTGAAGGCTGAGAGAGAGAGAGATAGAGAGAGAGTGGATGGAAGGAGGTTTTGAAATTCGATATACACTTTGTTGAGAACCAAGCTAGAACCAACTTAATATCGTGGTATATACAAAAGGTGCCAGAATGAGTGGCTGAATTTACTGAAATACCCTTTTCTGATTGTGAAGCTATA